AGTGTTTTATCCGGAGCGGTATGTATCCATACAACAGTCGGCCTAACGCAACGTCATCTTCGACTTCAACTAATGAACAATTCTATCTTACTTTAAATGCATATGAAAACATATTTCTCATGTTATTTTTGAAACTAAATTTATGAATATTTGACTGTTTCAGGAAAACCGGCATCTATGTACCATCGCTCAGATCCAGACTGGGCTAAATCCTACTCTAAATTTAGATGGTGCTATGACTCCAACAAAATCAGTGTTGAAGAAAAAAAAGATTGAAACAGATAGTAAAAGGTAGGCCTAATTTAGAGTTCATTCATTTCAATTTAAATTACAACACACAGCTAAACATTGTCCAGTATCTTTTGAACTGGAGGGGGGGGGTATTGTTTTTTATTTATATTTGTTATCTCACAATTTTTTTTCCACAAAAAAAGGAAAATTATGATTACAATTTTTTTTCATCATAACAACGGTATGAAATGTTTGCTATGTTAATATTAGAATTAATATACATCGTCAAATATATTCATTCTGTATTAACAGGTACAACAGAGCAGTTGACCGCCAGAAAAACAGAGATAAACATCACGTTGCCAGGGTTTTGTTGGAACTTCAGAGTGCAGAGTTTGTTGCAACTCCATATATTCCAGAACAGGATACCCAGGGGTTGACTCCATTCAATGAAGTAGAATCAGAGACATGTACATTTACTTGGAAAGGGAAAACGGAAGGCCCTGGGAAGTCTTTACAACCATGTAAGGAAAATGATAAAGAAAAATTAAATGAATTAGATAGTAGAATTAATTCTGAAATTCAGAGACTGTTGTCAGAGAATATGGCTTTAAAATCAGAACTGAACTCATTCTACATGAACCAAGAAAGTTTCAAAGAAGATAATGAGAAAGTAAAATATTATACAGGCCTTCCAAATTATTTGACTTTGATGGTGGTTATGGATTTAGTGTCACCATTTCTTAAAATGAAAAAGAATATGCGTCTTGGTGCATTTGAGAGAGTGTTGCTCACTCTTATGAGACTGAAACATAATTTCCCATTGAAAGATTTGGCTTATAGATTTAAGACTTCATCCTCCACAGTATCAAGAATATTTACTTTGGTTATACATATTATGTTTGTTAGAATGAAACATTTCATATATTGGCCAGAAAGAGAAGAACTGCAGACCACAATGCCTCTTGAGTTCCGCAAACATTTTGCTAGGAAAACATCTGTCATAATTGACTGCTTTGAAATATTTATAGCAAGACCAAAAGCTCTGCTGGCCCGGGCACAAACTTGGAGCAATTATAAGCACCATAATACTGTTAAGTTCCTGATAGGCATTACGCCCCAAGGCTCAATTTCCTATATTTCAAATGGATGGGGAGGAAGAGCATCTGACAAATACATTACAGAAGCCTGTGGAATATTAGACAATTTATTACCAGGGGACCTGGTCTTAGCTGACCGTGGCTTCGATATCGCGGATAGTGTTGGTGTTTATTGTGCGGAAGTAAATATACCTAGCTTTACAAGGGGAAAATCTCAACTTTCTGCTACTGATGTTGAAACAACCAGGAAAATCGCTCATGTGAGAATTCATGTGGAGCGAGTTATTGGATTAGTTCGAAATAAATATACAATCCTGCAGGACAAGATTCCTATAGACTTTTTAATTCATGAGAAAGATGAAGTACCAACAATAGACAAGATAGTTAATGTATGCTGTGCACTCACAAACATGAATGAGTCTGTGGTAGGGTTTGACTAGCTATGTATGAATAGTTGAATACCCATAATGTAAAGGTTGGTACCAGCTGGTTGGTACGCTGAATACAAATGTATGTCTAAGTAAAATTGAAAAGTGTCGTAGTATCAATTAATAACATTAGATTTAAAACATCTTTTGTGTATAGGAAGATTGACACTTGTACTGTTTCCCACTTCTACAGTGCTCTAAAGTTAAATAGAATAAATAAAGAACATTTAAAGGAACTTACATGTAATTTATTTTTATGCATGTTTATTATTCTTTGAATAAAGAAGTAAAACTACTTTTTGTTATTAATAAATGTACACACATGCTATGAAACACTGTAAAGAAATACACAAGGATAGATATTAAAACAGTTATAATGAGTCCACCTATATGTTTTATTAGGTTTCAGCGCCGCGATCTTGGTCTGTATTTATATAAGAACACTTCATTTGTAATCCAAATAACATTTGAAAAAAAGTTTAAGTGATTACAACTGCGAATAAGGATTACTTTTTGTTATTTTTTTTACCTACCGTCAGGACACCGACCATAACCTGACGTTAGTACGACGTCAAAAAGAACGTCTATTAGACATCGGTATTTTAACGTCAGATTTACATCGTATTTTGGTCGCCGACGTCGTGACCAAAATCTAACATTAATCTAACGTTATTTTAACGTCATGTGTTTGCTGGGAAGGTGACAACAGACACTTTCCGTGGTACTCACATAAATGTCATTTAAACAAAGTTATTTTAGTAATAATTGTTATTTATTTAATCTTTGTGCATTAAATGTCGTTGATCATCATAAAAAATAACATATTTGAAAAAAATGCCTTTGTAAATGATTGATTTTGAATAAAAATCCTAAAATTTTAAATCGTCATATCAAAGTCATTTTTTAATTTTTTGTCATCAAACTTTTGGAAAATAACCATACTTATATTATCTGGGGAACCGTGTCTCAAATTTTTTCTATCTTTTCTCAAAAAAATATTACGTAACGTCAAACAAAATATGCGACTTTTTTCACCATACATATTACGTAATTAAAGATAATTAAGTCGCTGATTGAGCAAACAAAAATCCCTGACACGGTTCCCTCTGTAAATGAATTTCCTTTCATGTGCTTTAAACCGCATGTTAATTGCTTGATTATTAAAAAAGTTATGCCGATTCAAAGTTAGTCCGACCCGCATCAAACGAAGTGTCATAAATCGGCTGTTCTCTCTCGGACCCCTACGTTTCACGCTAAATAATTGCATAATACACAAATATCGCACCAGAGAGGGTCACAAGTTGCGGTAACATACTCTAACAACATTTTATGACCCAGTGACATCTGACCAATTAAAAAGCTGCTGATTAATATCAGTTTATAGCCGAAATTTCTTCAATACTTAACGTGATTTACTGTTCGTCTGGTATCTGTCGCACATGTCACGTGATTATCGGAAAAATTTGAGGCACTCAGTGGGGGCAAATGGAATGCATTTGCGCACCGCTAGCGGGGTATTTAATTGTTTCCTATTTGAAGTTTATTATTATTATCATCAGCATTATTATTGTATTATACCAGTGTCACTCTGCCTGTGTATTCGTGTATGAAATTCCGTTAAAATATAAAATAAAATAACAAAAAACTGAGCTTCTGACAGTCTTTTAAAGTCCATGGTAGATGTACAAATAAGAACGGGATAGTATATATTTTTTCCACCAAATTGATAATGCTTCACATATTTTAATAGAAATAAAAGGCATTACTCGATCATTATGATGTGGCCTTCTTGACTTCTATTATCATGAATATCATCTATGCACGGCATAGAGATCCAGTTTCTACCGGGATAGACAATAAATTTCATACTTTGTCCCAGATTTATTAGTACTGTGTCGGATTTACTGGCGAACAATTTATTTTCACTGAGAATATATTTTAATATCTTTTTTTATTCATAGAGAAATAATCATCCTTAACAATCTAAAATGGTTTAGAAATTTGTCAGGGACACCTTACCACAAGTCATATAAGCGTTCACATAAAAAATGTCGTCTGTTGTTGTTTTACTAGACATTGTTAGAAAACGAGGTTGAATGTAAAGTAAGCCCTTGAATCCGTACAAAAGTCTATCAACTCATTGTAATATATATATCAGATTAACGGAATAGACAAATTATTTTCACACATTATGGATATTTTAGCAACTACATTTTTAATCAACGGTCGTGCGATTTGCCGCTATGCTTAATTATTTATGTTTCATACATTATGTTACGTACATTGGCCGACAATTTCTTAATTTATAAAAAAGGCTAAATGTTGAGATATTCATAAAAGATGTACGGTAGATGAACGATACATGTATTACGAGAAGTATGGACCAGTATGGACCTGTAATTCACGGATATATGGAACTACCGATTTCCCTCATTGATGCCTCAACAGGGGGCGGAGCGTTATCGATAATCGACAGGTTACGCGAATAGCAGATACAAATAGTATAGGTACCGTTTTAAATCGTTTAAAAACACATTTTTTGGACTAACTGCTTCCAAAATTAAGTCACGAATGTGTTCAGAAAAGGTTGATAAATCTACTTAGCAAAAAATCTCATTTTAGGTATTTTCAGTGATAATTGACTCCGTTGTCACCTTAAGTTTAAAAGAATTACTCGAGTCCGTGAAAGAAGTTTTCCCGATTATTTGACTTATTTAAAGCTGCAGGCCTCCAGATGGGACCTGTCTAAAACGCGGACGTCTTTTAAAGTGGACACTATAAACCTATAGGCAAAACGCGGACAATAAAGATAAAGAGGAAAGAAGCAGGCGATATAGATATATAGTGTAGACTAATTGATGATTATTTTGAGCCAAATATTTCAAGAAAAATCAAGATTGAGAAAAATACACTAAACTTTTAAGAAAGGTAAAAACATTCAAGATGCAAGTTATATTTTATATGTTATGTGCTGTTAACATTGATTTTGCAGTATTTTATCATCATATTTCTACTGCATGCGTTACTGTATGACATATTTGATGATGTTAAAAACCTTAAAAACTTAAATAGGAAAAGACCGATAATTGGTCATCTTAATATAAATAGTATTAGATATAAATTTCAGGAAATTAGACCCATTTTTTATCAAAATCTTGTTGATATATTCTGTATTTCTGAAACTGAAATTGATCATTTTTTCAGTGATAACCTGTATACAAGTTACATAAATGTGATAGAGATGCCCATGGTGGAGGCTCGCTGACACTAATACGGACTGATTTACCCATAAAACGCCAGACAGACTTAAAAAATCAAGGTCTGGAAAATTTATGTTTTGAATTGAATTTGTTAAAAAGGAAATGGGGAATTATTTTTATATATAGACCTTCTTCAATATCTGACCATCTTTTTTAGTCAAGGCTATCTAAAACATTAGACAAATTATTCATTAGCCATGTAATTATAACTGGGGACTTAAATTATGATATGCTAAATCCTATGAAAAGTAAACTCATTACAAACATCATGGATAGTTTCAACATGGTAAATCTAATTGACAAACCAACATGTTTTAAGAATTTAGATAACACAACTCTTATTGATGTAATTTTATCAAACCCCTCCTCTTTGCTATGTAAAATTCGTCAGTTATCACTAGCAGAATAAGTGACTGCCATAGTATGATATTTACTACTCTTGAAGAACAGGTTAATACTGTATCTAAAAAGAATATACCTTTCAGGAGTTACAAAAACTTTGATGAAAATGTTTTAACACTGAGCTAGACAAAGTACCCTTCCAAGTAGCATTTACTTTTGATGATGTTGATGACACCTATTGGGCATATAATAAACTTTTTAATGAAATTTTAGACGAACATACTCCTATAAAACAAAAATATCCTAAAAAGTCTTCACCACCTTATATGAAGGTAAAATAATCTACCAAACAAGACAGGCACATAACACGTATCTGAAATATAAAACCAAAAATAATTGGGAAAAGTATAGAAAACTCAGGAACTTCAAAACAAAAGTAAAACGTGAATCTATTACCACCTACTTCATGGAAAGATGTAGCGGGGAGCCAAAGTCTAAAGATTTCTGGCCAACAATCAAACCTTTTTTTAAGTCAAAAATCCATTTTGAAAAATTCTTGTAACATTATTCTTAAGGAAAATGAGTCACTGATAGCCGATCAAACTAAAGTATGTGATATGTTAAATGACTTTTATGTAAATATAGCGAAAAATATTGGGATAAATAATCAGACTGTTATTCAAAATGAACATCCTAGTATTAAATTAATTAAACAAAACAATACTAAAGTAACAATGTACAAACTTTCAATTTTTCTACTGTAACATCAAAGTCAATTGAAAAACATCTAAAATCAGTAAACCGAAAGAAAGCAACAGGATATGATAATATATTATCCAGAATACTGAAATGCTCAGCAAACATAATGTGTAAACCTATATCCAAGAAAGTTAATAATATGATCAACAAAAATTTATTTCCAGATAGTTTAAAACTGGCTCAAGTCACTCCAGTTTTTAAGAAAGACGATATTTTTATTATGAAAAATCATAGACCTGTTAGTATATTACCATCAATGAGAAAATTATAAATGAACAATTAAGCAACAATTTTGAAAATATATTTCATAATTATCTAGCCCCTTTCAGATCAGGATACGGATGTCAGACAACTCTTTTGCGTCTGGTTGTGGGCTGGAAGATGTCGTTAGACAGAAATAGGCATGTGGCAGCAATTCTAATGGACCTGTCCAAGGCTTTTGACTGTCTACCACATGATCTTACAGTCCAAAAGTTAGAGGCATATGGGTTGTCTGAAAATGCATGTGCTCTAGTTTCAAACTATCTATCTATCAGAAAACAAACAGTTGAAATAAGAGAATGTCATAGCACTTGGCTTGAAACAATTAAGGGGGTGCCTCTAGGCTCTATTCTTGGACCTTTGATCTTCAACATCTTCATGAATGATATTTTTCACTTTATAGATAAGTCCATCATCTACAATTATGCAGATGACAATACTCTAGCCTTCTCCAACTCAAAAATAGACATACTGAAAAATACATTAGAAAATGAAAGCAAAATACATATTAACTGGTTTAACATTAATAAAATGCAAGCTAACCCTGCTACTAGTTTTATATGTTTTTTTACTTTCAGATCTGTCATATGTTAGTAAATATGTTTTATGTCTTTGTTATTGTCGGTAAATAGCTTATTAGCTAATGTTTCTTGTAATATGTAAACCGACTTAAAATAAAGTTTCTTGTATCTTGTTACCAGGTACGTATATTACTATATAAGCCCAGCTGCTTGTTACTAACGCAGTAAGGGCAGTTTTTGCTTGTGTTGACCACTTTTTGGTAATTTTCGTGGATTGTAAGTGCCGATTGCAATATGTAAATTACTTAATTTGTGCACCTCACATTATTTTCTTTTAAATACGTTTCCAAAATTTTCATGAAAATGATCATACTGCGTGCTGCTTAAATTAAGCTTGATTTAGTACAGTATAGCCTGAGCAGTCATTAACCGGCTACCGTAAAGATAGCTTAAACTTTCGCGGAATATTCAAAATGGCGTCGGCAAGGTAAATAGAAATTACAAAAAAATAAGATTTGTATGCTTCCTCTTTAGTTTATTGTCAATGCAATCCCTAAAAGTGTTTAAAAATAGCAAATATTTAATGCTTATTCGTTATTTTAATTGTTATCATACAGCATATTCAGATGGCATTGGTATCAAATTATTTTAATTTGTCGTGATATGTTTCAACATGTTTTAACAAATTTAAGCTGAAGTATTTAATTCGGACTGTTAGAACCCTGGAAATTTATTTAACTTAATTGACAATAGTTTTTGTTTCATCAACAAAAGGGTAATATATTCCTGTTACTTGCGAAATAAAGCTACTCTCCCTCACAAAACTGTTCTAAAAATAAAATTGACATAGTTTATATTGATCAAATCAAAAAATCAAATCAAATCAAAATTTATTTATTGTCGGTATATATATAACATTTTACAAAACATAAGCTATGTATAGCTTTTGACCGACATACATGCATAATGATATAAACATAAAACTCATAAAAGAAGCACATTAAGATATTAAACTTTGAAAGACAAATGGTAAAAGATAAGTTAAATTACTATAATATGGGATGTAGACATTAAATGTTATAATTTAAAATAAAATAATAATAATTAATAAATAGTAATGATATGCTAAGGATATGCTTAAAAGTTCTATACTGTATCATAAGTGAATAAAAAGATATATATCTAGATAAAATGCGGAATATATTAGCACATACATAAAATAAGATTACATTAAAAGTGGGTGGATACTGCTGATCTTGACCCAGGCCTAGCCTGGACTGCTATAAAAGAAAGGAAATACGATATTGAAAATGAAAAGGATCACAAAGCTGTTACCACTAATTAGGTTTTATAAATAAAAATCCCCAATACAAAATTTGTAAGAAGTGATCAGCAGCCTCCTCAATAGGCAAACTTCGCAAAAAGCTGACAGTAAGCAAACAAAAATTCAAGCATACTGGAAAAATAATACATGTACATAATCATTTATGTTGAGAATATTAACAAAATTTAAGCCAAATGTGAAATAAACAGATACATGTAAGTAAGCAGCAAAACAAAAGAAAGCAGGCAAGAAACAAAACTGAAGATGGAGCTAAACTATAATGCAGGTTTATTGACAGAAAGTACATGAGCAACTCTCTCCATTCCATGCACCAATTAGACTTTTAAATTGGTCATAATTCACTTCCATTCTGAGGTGTTGAGGAAGTGAATTCCATAGTTTAGGTGCATAGGAACGAAAAGAGTTGCTGCCATAACTGGTGGTTCTTACCTGAGGGATAATGGCTACATTTTTATACCTAAAATTAAAAGAATGAGATTTTATATTAACAAGATCATGTAAGTATGTTGGTCCTTGTTTATGAATAATTTTATGAATTTCGAGGGCTATAGTTCTGATTCGTCTTAATTTTAAATTTGGTAGTTTAGATTTTATTAAAAGTGAGTCATAGTCTGATTGATAGTCATCATAAATGAATCTTAATGCTCTTTCTTGAATTTTCTCTAGTTTTTTTTGTGTACTTTTCTCCACAGAAGTGCCAGGTGACAGGGCAGTAATTAAAGTTTGATAGTATAAAAGAATAATATATGTTCAATTTCCCCAATTTACATCAATTTTTACCTATTCTCTTTAGCACGTTTAGTTGTTTTGAGGCTTTTTTACAGATATCAGAAATATGATTATCAAATTTGAGTTTAAAATCAAAAGTTACCCCAAGAAGTTTAACAGATTCTTCACAGTGGATTGTACTATCATTTAAATTGAAACTAATATTTTGATCCCTAGTTTTTTACCAATAGCAATAGCCTGGAATTTGTCGGGGTTTGCTTTCATATGATTGTCCGAAAACCATTGTATTAATGACTGACTATCTGACTCTAAAGATTCAACAACATTGTCAATGTTTGTGTCACTGCATGATAAAGTGTTGTCATCTGCATAATTATAAAGATCACATTTGTGTACAAAATCAAAAATGTCATTTAAAAATATGTTAAATAATACAGGGCCTAGAATAGAACCTTGAGGAACCCCTTTATAAATATCTTTGAAAGAACTTAAATTAGATCCAAGTTTGACGCATTGTTTCCTATTTGTTAAATAATTAGTTAATAAATCTAGGGCATGGTCGGAGACCCCATAACATCTAAGTTTCATGAGAAGGAGGTCATGGGGTAGGCAGTCAAAGGCTTTTGACAAATCCATTAAAATAGCTGCTATGTATTTGTTTTCATCCAGTGATCTTTTCCAGTCTTCAGTAATTTTAAGTAGAGTGCTTTGACAGCCGTAACCTGGTCTAAAAGCAGATAAGTAAGTATTAAAATGGTCATTGAAAAAGTCAGTTAGTTGGGTATTAATAGACCTTTCGAAGATTTTAGATAAAATTGGAAGGATACTAACAGGTCTGTAATTACCTTTATCTAGAGTACTATTTTTCTTATGGACCGGAACTACCTGAGCTATTTTAAGACTATCAGGAAAGATGGATGACTGGAAACTCAGATTAACCATATTAGTAATATGTTCCACGACTGAAGGTTTAGAAAATTTTAAAAGTTTAGCAGATATGCCATCTTGACCGGTTGCTTTTTTAGATGATAATTTATCAATCTGTTTACTAATGAAGGAGTTATTTACAGGTTGAAAATTGAGTTGTTTATCAGATTTAAGATTATTTCTTATAGAATTAAGGCTAGGGTGATTGTTGTTGATTGGTATTGAGTCTGCACCAATGTCCTTAGCAACATGTACATAAAATTCATTAAAAATATCACACACCTGGGACTGATCACTTACTAGAATATCATTTTCACATAAAATCATGTCCTTTTTTACAATAGTACCTTTATTTGTTAAAAATGGTTTAACAGTAGGCCAAAATGATTTATTTTTACATCCACCTACACATCTCTCTAAAAAATATTTATTTATTGATTTTCTTTTAATGCTTGTGACAAGATTTCTTTGTTTACGGTATTTTTCCCAGTTCTTTGATGTTTTGTATTTATTATATGTATTTTGTAACATGCGTTTCTTATAAATAGCTTGTTTTAATGTTTTATTCATATATGGTACTGTCTGGTCCATTGAACGTTTACGTTTTAAAGGGGCGTGTTTGTCTGTGACTTCCATAAAAGTTTTGCTAAAATTTGTGTATGCCTCGTTTACATTTACAGTGTTCTGGTTTAAGTTTGATAAATTAGTCTGTAAATCCTCATTAAATTTTTCAATGTCAAAATTTTTAAAAGATCTATAATTAATCCAGTTTGGTTTTTTACTTTTAGTTTCATCTTTTAGCTGAAATGCAATCAGATTGATGTTTTGTTTACAAATAAAAGTTTATTAAATATGCATACAAGTAAAATTTGCAGTTTCCATGAGATAACTGTGACCTAATAGTTTCACTTGCAACAGACTATTATCACACCCATTAATATGTAGCAAGTGGGACAGCTTGATGCAGGTAGAACTTGGCGCGATAGCTCAAGGTGGCGTGATAGCTCCAGTTGGTTAAACCACTGATTGTCACTCCTGTGGTCCCGGGTTTGATTCTGGGTAACACCTTTGGGATTTTTTGAGAAATACTTTCAGTGTTTCCAACCTAACAGGAGGTGTACTGGTGAGAAATCCAGGTAATCCTCGCATGTATCAGTGCTATATACTGGGCATGTAAAAGAACCAAGGGGTCTATTCAGTTAGAGCTAAGGACTGGTTCCTGGATTCTCTTTTATCTCTTTAAGTCTTAGCTTTCTCTTAAGTGACAAGTCTAGAGTCATGTCTTCATCCCCGCGAGGGTTTTGACATTAATGGAAAATAGATAGATAGAGACTTCAGGCTATATCCTGGAATAGATCCGGGGGGGTCTAAACCAGGAGTATATTACTATATATAACTTATCAAGGATTCATTCCATTTTCTTTATTATATACAAGTTTTACTCCAAAAAATACATAGGGTCTAAACAGGAGACTGCCTGATTTTCCATGTCTTGATGATATATTGTACATCAGTCAATTGCAGAATAAACAACTTACCAAGTGCACAATTCTATGGGCAGCCACCAACTGATCATCTTGCAACCAGTTTACTGGTGTGTTTATAATTTAAGTCAGTATTTACAAAATAAAACAGTGAAACGGTTTAAAATAAAGTATAAAGATTGCAGATGCTTTGCTTAGATCTATCTTTGTTTTTTGTCAGACAAGACATGTATTAATCATCTAGTTCTATATAAATGTACAAGCCTGTGGTTAGATTTTTTTCTTTTGATAACAATTAATTCATAAATGCTCAAACTACAATGTGTGGGATAGTAGCTATAACATTAAACTATACTTTACAGCAATATACCTGAAAGAATCTCTGATTTAAAAAACTTCGAGTTGTGACTCTTTCCTGTCACTTGCAATCATGAGTATAATTTGTATGAAACATGTTTAGAATGAATTTAATGATTTGATATATACCCTTATTGAAATATTTTTTTCTTCCTCAAATTTGCATTCAGGCAAATATTGCCGAAGCTTTACTATACTGTGTTTCAATTCTTCAATTGGAAAGCAGTGCACACTTGAAGAAACATTAACACTTAAATAAACTTACATCTAGACATATGAATACAAATCTGTTCTGTTTATATGTCAATAATTTTATTGCAAATTATATAATTTAAATCAATTTGTGTCTATTTTATTTAGTCCTGGTTGCAGTAGAAAATCTTCTCCAAGCAATTCCCCAAGGAGAAGTAAAGGGGACAGAATGAATACTTCATCTAGGTCTAAAAGTCATAGGGAACCAGATGCAGATCAACCATTACCAAACATTAATGAGAGATTAGGTATAAATTAAATACATTGTTACATGCAATTTTCTAGTTACTTTTAAAAGTTTTATCTCAAATTATTATAAGGAGGATAAGTGCATCGTCCCAGAACCATAAATCTCTAAAATACGTAATTTTAGAGTTATTGCCAAGATAATGCCAGTTCAAGTTTTAAATTTTTGTATATTTGTCATTTTTACAAAGTACATTCCTTGCATATCTAATACTATTAAATTCAGTGGAACAAAATAGAAAACAAAAGTGGATGGCTGACTGTCTTTCTTATAAATAACATACCATCTTTCATGATCTTTGTTCCTGTGATAGGTGTGACAGAAATGGAAGATAGATTGATTATGGCTAAATGTTTTAAACTAAAAAACATTTTCAGAAAAACTGTCAGAGAACTTGATAGGAAGAATGACCAAGTACTCGAGTACTGAAATTAGTACTTGTTACCATGCCTAATAATATGAACTGTTTACTATTTTTATGATGACCTTATTTTGGCATTCATAGCCTTATGTATAATTGATTTTGTTTGAAGGTCACCTGAGACCGTCGAGAGAGTTGTTAGAATATTACAGAAAGAAGATAGCCGAGTATGATGAGGAACATGAGGGCCTTGTTTCCAAGCTGGAGGAATACAAAGTCACTTATGAAGAACAGGTTTATAATCCAAGCAGTAGACTATAAATTGACCTTTAACCTGCTGAATTTGTATAATGAATTGCCCAGCTTTAAATTTAGAACGATCAAAGTGTTTGAAGGATTTGAATATCAAAATTGAAATTTTTTTGCAACCAACAGTTCAGAGTCTTGTCAGACTGCACAACATTGCAGATTTGCCTGGGTCTATACTGCTGGCAAATTACAAACACTTGTTATTTTATGTGCTCAGTTGAATTTAGCGATTTTCAGTTCAGCTAGAAATAGCTGGATTATTGAGGTGATTAAGATGTACAAGTGTTCTGTTATTCATTTGTTAGTAATGGATTATAATATGATAAATTTCCTCCTTAAAGAACTTGAAACAAAACAGTTTCAACATTATTGAATGATTGTCTTTCACTCAGACAAGTCTTTATATTTATTATATGAATGTTTAAAACTGCATGTCTCCAATGAGCAAAACTTTTCAAGAATCAAGTTGAGAAAATGTACGTTTTCAAAAAAAGTAAAAAATTAAAGATTCAAAAAAATTTACATTTTTGTTATTAATAAATTTTGTATTTTTTACTATATTTTACTGCATAAAAAATTTAAAATGGTTTTTTAGCATTTTTTCCCCTTTTTATAATTTTCGTGGTGCCTTTTGCATTGTGTAAATTACTTTATCTGTTCACTTCACAATGTTTACTTTTAAATATATATTCAAAATTTTCATGAAAATTAGCATGAATCTGGAGGCATGCTGCTTTGATTTCAGAAGTGATGGTAACAATTGATTACATAGTTTTAATGTTTATAATTCCAGCATAAAATGCAATGGGAGTTGCGTCAGCGTGAGGAAGAGATTGTAGAGCTGCAGAAAGCACTCAGTGACATGCAGATATATCTGTTCCAGGAGCGCGAACATGTTCTACGATTATATGCTGAAAACGATAGATTAAAGGTTTGCATATTTTTCATGTTTTAATGGGGGACAATAGTGGATTATCTTCCCTTGATAAAAACCGAGGTTAACCAAAATGTAAGTAGGTCCAAATATTTGGAATCCTTTGCTTTTATCGTTGAGTTTTATATAAGACAGGTGGATATGTCTTAATCAATTATTTACACATGCATCAACAAATATGTAAACCTTAAGAAAAAAATGTTTCATTTGTGTCAACAGATTCTACATCTTATCGCAATATCTAATCTGAATATTACAAATGATCATAATTAGCCCTAATTAATTTAGTTTGCTACAAAGAAATAGGCGATAAAGTCCGAGTAATCCAATAGCTTAGGACCTATCTATTTATAGGGAGTACTCAGGGGAGGTTATTCACTACTGTCCCTCATTGTTTTATTGGTAGGTATTTTACGTACATTTATGTATAATATATATTACCAGGCTGATGCCTGCAAGGAAGGTTTCTGAGGTCTTCCTCCTTCGTTAAAGCTGGAATATCACCATCTAACTTCGGAGTTGGTGTGACTTTAAACCCAACACAAAAGAAAAAAAAATACTTTATGACTTTGGTAGTCTGTCTGTTTTGTTTGATTTTAGCACAAGTTTTACAGTCATTTACCAGCTGACAGTTACCTAATTAGTGGATAAAGAAAATATATAGAGGATATTGAACAAGTGTAGGTTCAGTGCTGAATTAATTGAATTAGTGAATAGAATTAGAATCCAAATTATGCAAGCCTCTGGCAAGCATAATATTATTTAATTCAACTGGTCCAATAAATTTACTTATGAACCTACAAAAATATTTCTAAATAATTTTATCACATGCCTCTTTTTTTTCATTGAAGCATCTTTAATGTTATGCTAACATTAAAGCTAGCACACTTTTATGCTATGTTCAATGTTAGTGACATGTCAAAATATATACACGGCTGTGCCATACCATTTTTATAGAGTCATAAAAGCTGCATGGTATGTGAAAAAAGAGAATTTATTAACATTTTTCACATGTTTAGATACTTCAATTGAGAGAACACATAAACATTTATTAGACTAGAGCAATTTTTACTATACAAGCAGTTAAATGCTACTGTAAGATACACTATTGAGATCAATGTTTTAGATTCGTGAACTTGAAGACAAGAAAAAGATTCAGCAGTTATTGGCACTGAGTGGCACTCCAGATCATGAAATCACATATTTCCACAAGGAGCCACCAGCTAAAGCTGTAGTAGAGCAGAAAGCGCCCAAACGACCACAAAGTGCCAATCTACAAAACAAAAGTGAGTTACTCATTCATTGCACATGTTTTTTTTTTTAAAAAGAATTCATGATCTCTTTTCCTGCCTTAAAAACAAATCTTTCATTCTTTAGAAAGGGAAAACATGAGTTTTATAACATTTTATTAATTGTTTTAGAGCATATCCCCTGAAGGTTTAAAAGTAAGTTTAGAGAGAAATAAAGCTATGAACAGACAATTTTTTTTATTTCAGAAGATGGTAAGAAACAGACGCAGGGATCGGCAAAGAGTTCTGTAGCTTTGTCAGCAGACGATAAATATCACCATGATAACCAGGCATTGACTTTACAAGTAGAATCACTCCAGTCACAAATACAAGAACAGGCTAAACTTGCAAAAGAACAGGTTGGATATTAATAATTTATAACTTCATCAGTGTGATCAGGTGCTTTACTGGTAACTTAATGTAAAATGTTCACATGGCATGCGGTATATTGAATCCTAATATGTAATGAAGCAGTCCAGTTAGGTTGTGGCAGGTTAGCTGTTTTTGATTGCCAGCTTGTTGGTCTGAAATAATGGACATAAGTTTAGTACAATTTCAGGATGGACAAAATCTGCTTCATTTATTTGAATTTTAAATATTAAATTAGAAAAAGTATTCAAATAAGCAGTTTAAAGGTATTTTTATGATTATATTATTTTGAAATTTATTCTGAAATGAATCGGTTTAGATATTTTCTATTGCCAATGCTGTGAGTTTCTTTTATCATTAGAAGAAAATATCTAAGTAAGTAAGTCTTCAATATGTGAACAAAAAGAATAGGGGAAATTTGAAAGAAATAGGTTTTAATACGAAATGTGATATTGACATCTCTGTTGATATGATTTGTAATTAGCCACTGCACCTAACAGTGAATCCAATGAATACACTTTTATGGATAATGAACAATTTGTTCATTATCCATAAAAGTGTATTCATTGGATTCACTTTTAGGTGCAGTGGCTAAGTGGTTTAAGGTATCAGCTTCGGTACCCAGGGGTCATTGGTTCAAACCTTATTCAAGACACAACCATGCTTTCCTTATTTATCACAGCTCACCAGTGCCACTTGTTATTTCAAGGAAGCAAATTCAAAGTGATTGATCTATGTTGCTAAACTTGCTTAGTTTGTTCTTCAATCAAGCTTAAATAAATATGATTTAACTTATTGTAATAAAATTTAATAAAATTCAGGTACAAGCTCTTATAGAAGACCGTCGTGTTAAAGAAGAAGAGCTTGAAACCAGACGGCAAAGAGACGAAGCCAAGATACATACACTTACAGAAAAGTATGTGTTAGAAATAAAATATGGTTATTTTAGTTATAGTAGTACCTTGATCGGAACTTGTATTTGACATGAGTAGATTATATGAAGATAAGGTCTCGTGAAGCATAAGAGTGTGGAGTGTGATCTGTTCTAGTAAAACCCATGAGAGCCGAATACAAATGTCACATCAAGATACTTCTATAATGACCCTTTTATAATACAGTGTACCTTGTCAAATTTTTGAATTAATATTCAACCATAATGTAATTGGTATAACACCAGCAACATCATTCAGGTTCACACTTAAGTGTGAAACAGATTTTTTTTATGTTGTGCATATGAAACATGTGTTTAATGTAGTAAAATATGTACAGGTGTGTAATAAACAATGTTGTAAGCAATTTTGTACATTTCTTGTTATTCATAATTGTCTTAATGAATTAAAAATGACAAATGTAAAGAAAATTGTTGGCATTAGTTAAAATATATATCTAGATTCAGTAACAAGATAAAATCTGAGTTGTATTGTATAAAATTTACCTCTGTTAGGAAAATGATAATAGCATTCAAGAATAGTATCGGTAATGTGAATAAGTGAAATTTTGTGACCCAAGTTAAAGTATATGTATATACCATTCTGTGTTTTATAAAATTATTCATTATTTGTTTGCTACAGGTTACATAAAACCCAGGATCTCTTGTACGAGAGTACGAAAGATTTCCTCGAACTACGATATCAGGGTCGAGGACATGAACGTAACTGGATGGCTGAAAAAGACAAGCTTCTCCGAGACCTTGATCAATGTAAACAACAAATGAACAGAAACAACATAAAAGAGGACATACTGAATTCTTCTAACCTTTATGAAAATAGATCCCATTATATTGAAGAGTTGAAAGTAAGTGAAAGGCTTTGTATTTGTATGCTACAAGTATTTCATATTTATGAATTTGAAAGTTTATTACAATTAATTATTTCATTTACAGATGGTCAAATTTTTGTATGCATAATTACAAAAGAATTTTTTTTTGTAAAACATAATTTCACTTCTTTAAGTCTAATTACTTTCAGTGCTACAATTTAAACATTTCTTCTTTCATTATACATGTACATTGTGTAACAAAGAGATGCTGAAACTGTGGACAAGTGGAACATAATCAATTATTCCAGAAATGATTTTAGTATTTAATGGAAAATAGGTTCAAATCCAGCCAAGGACTACAGATATCTTTATTTGAGGAAACTTACTAGCTAGCTTATCAAAATGGTTTGTGGTTATACTCTGATGCTTGTGCCTAAAGTAATGTATATAGAGGCACCAGAGTTCTTCATAAGGGAAGCAGAAAAGTTGTTGTTTGACTTAATACTTCAACCAAATCAATATATTTTTTTAATAAAGATTGGTACATTAAGACTTAAATAAAATTTTCTCTCACAAAATATTTGGGATATATTTCAGTCTCTGGAGTATCAACTACAACAGTCACAGAAGTTGTCAGAAATGTATAGAGAACAGGTGATCCAGTTAGAGGATGAGTTGTCACGGATAAGAGAGGAAGGTGATGTTACCAGGGATATATTCAAGGTATTCTAATATATCCAGTTTTGTTACAGTATTTACCTCCCTTGCCAAAAGTGGCAGCCATTTTGAGGGTCAATATTCTATATGATATGATTGACAAAATATGAAAAAATCCTTATAAACAACAGATTTACAAGTATGTAATGTTAATGTCTTTTTTCCCTTCTGTTGATGAGTACAGTAAAATGTCATGTTCATAGTTGCTATAAAATTTTGTTTCTCCTGGAATTGTGATAAAATTCACAATTTGGCTGTTGTTGTCTGATGTTTTTTTCCTTCAAACAATTTTCCTACTTTCAAAATTAGAATATTTCCTTTTTTGTTTGACCTGTTTGCAAGGAAAAATATATATTTTTTGATTGTAATGTCTTATGTAAATGGTCTTTTTGTGTTTGATGAATAAACAAGTCACTGGTTTAAGTTAATGACTCAATTGTAAATTATTTACTTTTTTTCTACAAATTAATAATAACAATCAAACAAATTTTATAATCCTCTTCAATGTAACACAATTTTAGATGGTTCTGTATTTTGGTCAGGTTTTTTGTTTGTTTATTTTTGTTGTTGTTGTTTTTTCTTTGAAGTAAAAATGTCATAAATGCATGAATATATTATATATAAACGTGTAGAAATACATGAAATTAGCAGGAATTTAGTTTATCTACATACTACAATATTGTATTTTAGGACCGAGGGGAGAAAATGAGTAAAAGGTTAAAGTTGATGAATCAGAGGTATCAGGACTTGGAAAGACGACGTAACTTAGAAGTTGAAGGATTTAAAACAGACATTAAAAATCTCAGGACTAGATTGAAGGAAGTAGAAAGGCAACTTTATAAGGTAAGGCCTAAAATGAAATATTTGTTTCCTCCTGCTACATTCCTAAAAAAACTAAAGAAATAACTGCTACCCATAAAAAGATTTATTGCAAAGGAAAATAAAATGTTTTATTAAACATGGAAGCAGTCTGTCATTAAGAATTGAGAATCACATCTTTAACATTGAAACTTTGGTTCTAAACTTTAAACAGTCACTAATAAAGCTTTTTGATTTTTTTATGGCAATAGTCTGTTAGATGAATTATAATATACAATATTTTAAATTCCTAGGGAAATAGATTAGAAGGATTATGATCTCTTTGTCTTCTCTTGCCACAGGTAACAATAGGCTTCTCAGAGGACATGGATGTCAAGCGTCCGGACGATCTAGATATGCAAATATTAAGGAATATACGTGCCACCTCAGGACGCTCGAAGAAAATGGTCGGAGAACTGAAAAATCTCAAAGCTAAAATGTATGGAATAGAAAATGATTTGAAACACTTGTGAATGAATAAATGACCTAGCAAAGCGAGCCAGAAAGTATATATGTGTGTTAAATATATGGGATAAAATTGATTTATTTATTGTTCAAGTGCAACCTCTGCAAAGAAATTACCTCTTTTCGAAAACAGCATTAATTCTTCCCAAAGTTAGAATTCACAAAATTGAATCATTTTTGACATACACGTCTGGGAAACAGTCAAAATCTTTATCTCTAAAAGGGGATATTGCTGTGTAAAGGTTGTACTAGTCCAGTAGATGATTGATGGAAATTTCTGATTATAAGGTCCTTTGTTGTAAAAGAATGTTCCTCATCTTTGGGTATTTTGAAGGGCAGTTATGAGTTAATGTCATACATAAAGTAATGTCATTTTCTTTCATAAATTTTTACAATGCATTTTAAATTGTATCATTAAACATTCATATATTTTTAATGCATTTTTATTAGCAACATTAATATTAACTTTCCCATATGTATATGCATATTACAAAAGAATATTTTTATTCAGAATTTGAGCATATACAATATATGGTAATGTTTAGAGTAATGCACATAAAATTAGAAATGTACAACTATTTAGATTTTGATTAGAATGTAGTATGGTGCATTGGTTTAAGATTTAAATTTTCTTTAAACCTTTATGTCAAAGGGTTAGTTATATCAAAACATAGTTTGTTGAAATTAAGACTTTATATGCCAGTACTTCTATATCAATCTACGGTTCTGATATCTCACTGAATGTATATGTGATGGCTAACCTTGGTTTGCACTGGTCTAATGGGTAGAATCAGTTGTTGCAAACAGGCTAAGGGTTAATACTTTGAAACATGAGCATCATAAAGTATTTAATCTGTAGAATGAATAAAACATTTTCAAGTTCAAGTACTTTTAACCGGTAGTAATTAAAAATAACATATGCTTACATAATTGGAACTGAGCAAAAGCAAACCTGCAAATACTGTAAAATATGGCAAAGCTGTACATACAGTAAAATATGGCAAAGCTGTACATACAGTAGAAATGGCAAAGCTGTACATCCGGTAAAGTCCTGTCCGACTATATACTGGCACATCTGGTGTAACCTGGCACGACTTGGTACAGTTGGCTACTGTATATTAGTATTTTGAAACCTTTGCTTTAACTTGAGACATGTAACAAATATGAGACAAGTCTCTTATTCCAATAAAGTGTGTAAATAGGTTAAGTCTTCTTTGGGGTAGATAATAAAAAAGCATTACACATTTGTATTTGAAATTTTAACATGGTTTTGTTCCTATGGTAAACACAGGATATGGAGAAGTTTCTTGAAATGAATTAAATTGTTTTGAATTTTACTGTTGATAAGAAAGAGAATTTGTTCCAAATTGACATGTAACATTGCTGTAAACTTGTAAATATGGAGAAAGAAATCGTATGTTGTTCTGTGATAGATTATGTAGATATATTGTATTTATAAAATTTAATCTATATAATAAAGTAGGTGTATACTTGAAAGCAATCAGTTTTTGTGTTATCTAATCTACCAAAAAATGAGTTTCTTGTATTTTTCACAATTGATTTGATGTTGAAATTTCTTTACCTATTTTCACATCTGGAACCATCCCACCTGGAATTTCAATGTTTTTTTTTTCAAGTCAGAAATCTTTAGGATGTCTAGACTTGCCAAATATATCCTGAATTTTAGGGACCTTTGTGGCAGTCATTAAGGTCTCTGACATTGAATCATTTGCCCAACAGGTCTATGGGTTTGAAATATAACTTTTGAATATTTCTTGTGAGAAAGGTATGTGGCTAGTTTGCAGAAAGTTGGTGGCCCTTGTCTGTTGTCCTACAAAAATTCCATAAATCATGACCCTAGTGTCAGAATTGGCCCTGTTATTGTGATCACTTAGTTTACATAGACTTGCATAGTAAACATACCTTAAGATTATTCTCTGAAACGGCAGTGCACACAATATAGTTAGTTATTAATTTTAGCATGTAGTGTCATGCATATTCCTGAAAAAAAGGTTTTCTTAATCATGCCCCTTTGGTAAAATTTGCTCCACCCTGGAGAGTCACTTAGTTTGGATAAACTTATTTATTCTCCTTGTGGCAATAGCTTAGGTATATGGCATGAAGCATTACCTAGTGGACCCCTAAAAAAGTTATATAAATCATGCCTCTGGGGTAAAAAATAACCTTGTCATGCAGTCACCTAGTTAACATGAACCTAATCATAAATTATTTCTCTTCCAACTTTGAGGTTGAACACCACAATTACCTAATTTTGCTTTGAAGAATTATGATATTTCTTGCAGTGGACCCCCTTGTGGCTGGGGGGTTGCTTTTAATGGTTGCTTTTAATCAAAATTGCAGCCACCATTTATCTCTGCATGATCGTAAGAGGCAATTGAAAGTGTTTGAATTACTGAAGTCTATGCATCTCTTAGCTCCAGCAGGTGAAGCGGTTTTAACCTTTGAGGTATGACCATCCTAAAGGGCTCTATAAGGAATTGAAAAATTGACAGCATAGGTCAGATATATACCTTAAAGGACACCTGTATGCAAAATTTAAACAATATATAAATATATTAAACAGGAATACAGGTGAGGATAAACTACACATTCTCCTATAAGGGGAACAGAAAATATTGCTGAAATGTATCACATTGATCAAAAGCAATGCTGACACGGTCAATTACCTGTGTAAGCTTAGTCAGTCTATATGATGTCCTGCACTTGTCTCCAACTTAAATTTTTTTTAAAGTTTGGGTTTTAAGCTCTAGCCTCTAGGCAACTATACCCTACGGTCCCTACACAACTTTTTCTTTAAGCAGTATATACAAGATTAATTGATGAAGTGACCTACTGTGCATAAACTTCTTACAAGAAAAAGTAACAGTTGTAACAACTGTCATATAATATATATTGTAAATATTGTTTACATTTCTTTCTTTACCATTTTATCAAATCTTGTCATTTTTATCAATGATTCTTGTCATTTCTCCAAGATGTTACGCCAGATGTTAACAATGTAGCAAATATGCTGTAACAATACAAGTTTTATTTTATAGATTTCTCCCATTCATAATCCAATACATCCAGTACAGAGATACCGTAAAATTCCTAATAAACACCCCTCCCCTAATAAAGACCGCCCAGGTTTTTTGATATGGAAGAAATCTACTCATCTGTGTGTGCTGAAGTCATGAGTAAATCCATAATCTTATTCAAATCCTTCAAAATTCATTTTATTTTATAGTAAACACAAAAATGTATCATATGAAATTAATAAAACCTTAACACATTTTTTAGTTTATTACAAACACTTGCTAATAATAAATGCTTTAACAATGATTTTTGATTTAGGAAAAAATGTGTTTTAATTATAGCCCCCCTTTTGGAAAATGTTAAGCCCCGGGCGCGTTTAATAGGGATTTTACGGTATGAAAAAATAAGCACTCGAGAACTCAACATTTGCCATACATGTCAACAGCCTAAAGACTGTTGTTTTTTCTGTAAATAGATTAGTTTGTTCTTTAAGTGGCATTAAAAATGGATATAACTAAATTCAAATGTGGAAGTCTTGTAGATATTCTTTTGATCTGAAATTTTGTGTCAACTTTTGGAGAAATAAAATAAAAAGATTATCCAAGTGATAGTAAAAATGACTTATGTTTACATACGCTCGAAATCTAACATGAAAAAATATATTTATCTTGGTTCCCTGCTCTATTACGTTTTATTCTCAAGCTTACTACTGTACTGGAGTTATCAGAATGGGGAACCAGATACTGAAATAGACAAAGGGAGACAACTGTCAGATGGATTTCAAGATTTTACACACCATTTTAATGTTGCAAATATTAGGAACTCTAGCACTGTGAACCACAGTTTCAAGAATAACTCAAATAATGTATTGGGTTTAATATATTAATTAACCTAAAAGGAAACTATTTGTTTTTGAGGATAAACACTGCACAGAAGGGAACTTTCCTGACGCCACAATGCTGGTGTATAATTAAATGAGCAATAAAATTAGCCAAAAATTACCATATGGCAATATTGAGCTTCTGTGTTTACTCTCTTTAAATATTAGAAACAATTCTTCTAAATATTTATGAACTTTAGCATTATTTGATACACAAAGAATTTAAATTACATGTATTAAAGTTATTTTGTTTTGTATTTTCAAAAAACTCAACTTGGAAAAATTTTAGCTGCTTACAAGTTCTTTCTTCATTATAACATTTTCGCCCTTATTTACCATTTTTCTCCTAATATATTATAAGCCCAGGTGGGCTAAGTGTGCTTTTGCTACTAAGTACAAAACAAAAACCATAAGGAAGATAGATAAGTGATGTTGCATTGACAGTCTCTTACAATATACTGTTATTGTTAAAGCTTCACGCCTCCAGATGAGCCAAAATATTTCAAGAAATTCAATCTTTAGAAAAATGTATTAAGATCTTGTGAAAACTAAAAAGATTTAATATCTAATTAATTATTCACATGTTATGTGCGATTTATGACTGATTTGACAGTATCAATCATTATAACTCTACTGCGTTACTAACGCAGTAAGAGGTATTTATGTATATTTTGACCTCTTTTTGGTAATTTTCATGGATTGTGAGTGCTGTTTGCAAAGTGTGAATTATTTTCTTTGGTCTTTTCACAGTATTTTACTTTCAAATACATTTTCAAAATTTTCGTGAATATTAGCATAAATCTGGAGGCATGCTGCTTTAAGGCAAGATGCCAAATGAGGGTACTAATGAAATGCAGGTGGGTTATAGTAGAAGAAATATGGTAATCATAATTAAAGTTTGTTACGTTTTGGTAATAAAATTCAAATTCTTTTTATAATGTACCTTACAAAATAAGATGATTTATCACAGACGTATATATATATATATACACACAATTGAAAGGTATAGTCATGAGCAGGAAATTATGCAGAGAAAAATCAGATGCAAAATCATGTAAAACAAAAATTATCGTTACACTATTTTGTTTACAAAAAAAATATGAATGAAAATAAATATTGGGTAAAACATGTTCAAGATTTTCATGTTTCTATCAAGTACTAGTTACATAATACAATAATATTTTGGTTAATGCTTTAGTACAATGTTTTTTCTTGATTATCTGTAGTATGTACTTAAAAACAAGAGCACCGTCGAAACTGAGGCATGTACTCCAAAATGCAAGTTTTGTTTGCAATAATCTTCCAATTTGGAATGAGATACATTCACAAAACATGTTTTATATTAATTTTTCTGTATGTAACAACTAGAACCGCCACTGTCCTGGCTAAGATACACCGTCACACCACTTTGTGAGCAGAAGTTTCATTCACGTTCACATCATATTGATTCAGAGACATTCTGGACAAACATGAAATATGAAAATTTACAAAGTGCAATAACCCAAAAGTTATGCAGAAGGAAATTATGGTTCTTAAGCAGTACACTTCTTTATACAACTTATGATGTATGAGGTGTCAAGGTAATACCTTTCAATAACTTTTGAGCTATGTTCCAGACAGATATTTAATATGAACTAGAACTCCGCGAGTTGGATGTGTCGCCTTGTGAACAATGTAGTTTAGGGGAAATGGCCAGGACAAAAATGAAGTATGAAAAATAACAAGGGCAATAACTAAAAAAATAAGTGCAGAGCAGCATTTTCTGTACACTGCACTTCTTATCAATAAGATCTATCATTCTATGATGTTTCAAGTCCATAGCTTTCATACTTGAGGAAAAATGACCAGGACAAAAATAAAGTAAGAAAAGCAACAAAGGGCAATAACTCAAAAATAAGAAATGCTGAGTATCAGTTCTTATGCACTGCACTTCTTTTTAATGAGATCTATCATCCTATGAAGTTTCAAGTCCATAATTTTTATACTTTCAGAGAAATGGCCTGGACAAAAATTAAGTATGAAAATAAACAAAGGGCAATAACTTAAAAAATAATAAATGCAGAGAACCAGTTCTTGTGCACTGCACTTCTTAATGAGACCTATCATCCTATGAAGTTTCAAGTCCATGGCTTTTATACATTAGGAGAAATGGCCCAGACAAAAATAAAGTATGAAAATAAACAAAGGGCAATAACTCAAAAATTAGGAAGTGCAGAGTACTGGTTCTTGTGCACTGCACTTCTTCTTAATGAGATCTATCATCCTATGAAGTTTCAAGTCCATAGCTTTTTTAGTTGAAGAGAAATGGCCCGGACAAAATTAAAGTATGAAAATTAACAAAGGGCAATAACTCAAAAAATAAGAACTGCAGAGTACCGGTCCTTGTGCACTGCACTTCGGGTTATTGAAAGAAGCATGCATACCAAGTTTGAAGTCAATCAGATTTATAGTTACTGAGTTATGCTCCGGACAAGCTTTAGCGGACGCCGACAACGACACAGACGCCGACACAAGTAACCCCTATATGTCACCTTTTCAAGGCAACACAAAAATTACGAAGGGCAATAACTCAAAAAGGCAGGGCAATACAATTATCCTTAAGAAGATCTATCAACAGATATCTCCCACAATTTGTAAGCTATTCCTTTAAATAAACAAACAGTTTGAGTGATCAACTGTCCAACCAGATGTTGATCAACCTGAAATCCATTTCAAATGAGCAAACTAATTAGAAGACAACTTGACAATTAAAAATAAAATCCCTTGTTTAACCCCTGTCTTTGAGAAAATTTTTTAAATTTTTTGTAGAAAATTTGAGTCTTTTAAAAGTAAGTGTTTCCCCGGTTGAACCATTTTTGCTCAAAAAAAAATTAAAATCACACTAATAAAATATTGGAGTTTTTCTAAATAGCCCGTTTTCAATCAAAGCAAACAATTTTTTTTTTTAGAGAATTTCAAAAAAGGTACTTTGTACTGATAAAATGGAAAGTGCAGCCCTGATCAGTGCCCCCATTGTCCCCTGGTCCCCTGTCCATAGGAAAATTAAGTTGCCACCAGAATAGAAGATTTAAAATTAAGATCTTCATACGGACTGCTTAATTTTAAAATCGTGCCCCCAGGGTCGAAAAATTAGACCTAAGGGCTGATTTAAATTGACAATGTCAAAACAATATCTAAGCTTTAGCAGTTAAAATGATGGCACTTTTTTGAATTATTTTTTTGTTTTTTGATTAAAAATACATGGATGGAACCCCATCGGCGAAAAAAAATTTTTGACCTTTATAAAAGGAAATTCAAAAAAAGTTTTATAAATTTTGGGCCGTGGTTACGGATTATTTTAAAAAATTGGATGAGATTGATGGCTTTAAATCCTAAAAGTCCCGGGTCAAAAACCAAATGTATTTAGTGGCAAAATACTTTCGGAAAATAATAGTAAAAATACTTTTTTTTTAAATTTTTTATTCATCATTGTAACAAATTTGAAAATATCGTGTTAAAATTTTCCAGCAAAATACTTAATACTAAAAATTTATACAAATTCACAAAAAGGAAATAAAATGATTTTTCTTCTAAAAAATTATTTTATGTGTTAAATTATTAAAATTTTCTAAAATTAAATTCCTTTTGGTCTAACCCCCTAATGAATCGAAAACTTGGAATTCAAGAAAAAAAACAGAATATTTTAGCCAACAATAAGAAAGGCGATTGCATGGAAAAAATGTGGTTTTTTTAATCTAAGACTCCCCAAAATCAGGGTTTTTTTTGTCATGTGTATTTTTCGGGAAATTTTTTCAATTCAATTTAGCCTGCATTAATTCAAACACGTTACTATCATTCATTTGTAAATCTATCAAGTCTTAAAAATTTTCATGTAAAACTTGTCATACAGTAACTTTTTTGTTCAAGGCATCACCCTGATTCCCCCTCTAATAATTATTCCCATTTATAATGGTTTTCAATCCATTTTGAACATTGTGCATATTATCTGGGTACCTAGGGTTTTGGGGGGGGCAGGCCAGCAAAAGGGCCCCAATTTTTTGGGAAAGCTTTTCAAAAGGGGTTTTTAAATACCCTGAAAAAAAAAGTAAATTCTCTGAAAATTTTAAAATACATATCACAATAGAAATTTAGATTTTGAAAAAATTAATTGGTAAAACCCCCAATGAAAAAAAAGCGTCATGAGCAGTCTTTGATTTTGCGATCATTGCTTGGGGATGAAATTTGTTAAAAACCCTGATATTGTGTAAATATCCTAATTTTTGTACATATTTTTAAAAATGTTTTAGTAAAAAAATTTTTTGTTCATCAAATATGTTATGTTGTTTTAAAATTCCCTTTGCAGTTTTTTTCTTCCTTTTTTGTCACCTGTTATAAAAATGTTCCTTTATGTAAAAACAGTTCGTTTTAAAATGCCACCTGTTTTTGTTATGTTTGGGTAAATTTTCAAAATTTTGCTTTTCAAAAAATTTTTATCATTTTTCAAATGTTTTCAAATTGTGAAGAAAATTCAACGATACTCATCTCTATCGGTTTAAAAGCTCTATGCTAAAAATTTTTAAACCTTTGGGAAGAAAAATTTTTAGAAAATAAAAGTTCAGGTAAATCTGGTAAGACAAAGTTGATATACCTGGAGCTATGGTAACAACCCTGATGCCACGGATACTTAAATCACGAGTCAGAGGAAGTGTCATGGCCGCAATAGCCCCTTTACTTGCTGCATATGCTACCTGACCTGAAATTTACATTAAACATCAATATGCTACCTGACCTGAAATTTACATAAAACATCAATATGCTACCTGCCCTGAAATTTACATTAAATATTAATATGATACCTGCCCTGAAATTTACATTAAACATCAATATGCTACCTGACCTGAAATTTACATTATACATCAATATGTTACCTGACCTGAAATTTACATTAAACATCAATATGCTACCTGACCTGAAATTTACATTAAACATCAATATGCTACCTGACCTGAAATTTACATTAAACATCAATATGCTACCTGACCTGAAATTTACATTAAACATCAATATGCTACCTGACCTGAAATTTAAATTAAACATCAGTATCACAAACATGATCATTGTCATGTTGTCATGGTAACAATTTGGTGTTATAGTCTATAGTATAAAGAACTTATCCGGAACAAATCTTCATGACTTTATTTAACATTTCATTTGAAGATGGAAGAATTATTAGAGTCCCAACTTCTCAATTATCTTTTCTATCATACTTGGTTGAAGCTTATATGTTTTAGAGCACTTGATCAAAAATATACAATTTTATTCAACTACAAGTGATCAAGAAGTTTGTATGAAAAATGTACTTGTAATATACATCAAATCTGAATTATTCCTTCGTTTAATTCCATGCAGTCTAATAATAAGTCTATCCAGGTTCTTTATACTGTCGCAAGCTCTATTTTTGAATTTTAATACTGATATTCTTTATTATTAATCAGACTGTTCAAGGTTCAAAGCTAGGCAAATCCATTGCACAAATTCTGCAGGTTAAAGCAGCTTACCTCAAGGTTAGTGGCTTATATAATCTAACTAAGAAATGAGGATCATAATTTTATTTTACTAAAGGGAACAAGGAGATACAGTTATATTTTGTAATACTGCTCTTTGTTAACATCATTTTTCATTGGATAACAGTGATGTTTATATAATCTATATATACGACTGAAGTTAATTTATAAATTCATTTAATTTTTTTTCTCTAATGAATAGTTTGCAGTATTATAAATTATGTTATAAAGATTCTTAACATGTTATATGGCCATATTTAACAATATTACCCTTGCCTAACAGCTTGGGTTATATTTACAAACAACCATTTATATAGGGCCATATAACCTGTCAAAATCTTTATAACTAATAATATATATGGCTATTAACAAACATACCAACTTGTCCATCAAATGCTGCAATACTTGATGTGTTTATAATGACGCCACGCTGTTCATCTTCATTGCCTGCATTTTCATTAAGTAATGGTGCTGCTAGACGTATAACATTGAAGGTCCCAGAAACATTTGTCTGAAAACATGATAAATTTAGAACATTATATCTATTTGCAAACACTAACATTTGATTAGGATTTGAATATTACATTTGTCTGCAAACACTTTCAATCAAGAAACATTTCATTTGTCTGCAAACAATATCAGATAGAAACATGACATTTATCTGCAAACACTATCAGTTAGGTGCATTACATTTGTCTGCAAACACTATTAGTTAGAATCATTACATTTGTGTGCATGCAATATCAGTTAGGAACATTACATTGTCTGCAAACACTATCAATCAAGGAACATTACATTTAGAAGTATTTTAAACAAAGATGAACATAGTTCATTTGTTAACCTTTCTTCCCATTACAAATGATCACAATACAGGCCTTTTCCCAGTGTCACCAAAGGTCAAAATACCAGACCTATTCTCAATGGCAAATATACTTATTTTTTCACATTCTTTAAAACAAAGTCCCAATCAAACTGATTCCCAATATCTAAGTTTACAAATTTGCTGAAGTTCATTCTGGTGCCTAACTAAAAGATGTTTCCTTACATTTTACCTTCAAATACTAATGTTTATGTTATGCTTTGATTCATGTATGTGTTGGTTTGAATAAACAATGTGGCACAATTCAAATACTGCGCCAAGAGAGCCTGAAAGGAGGTTTCAAATGGTACCAATTTTTTTTTTCCAATGAAGCAATTCTACGATGCAAATTTTCCCAAACTGAGTTAGGTACTTTTTTCCCAAAAGAACTAGGAAAAGACCTGCAAGAGTCACATTTTGAGAGTTGTATAATAAACTTACTAATAAAGTTCTATTGAACTGTTGAAGGTCATGAGGTATATTTTTGCCGAAGTTGTACGTCCTCATGGCAATACCAATACCTGCACAGTTCACTACATTATCCAAGTTACCAAATTTATTCTTCGTCTTCTCAAGAGCTTCACTAACTTCAGCCTCATTGGTCACCTGTAAAATATATATGTGCCGCGTCACGACAAAACCCACTCAATGCATTTGCGACCAGCATGGATCCAGACCAGCCTGCGCATTCGCGCAGTCTGATCAGGATCCATGCTATTCGCTATTAGTTTCTCTATTTGTTATAGGGTTTGTAAGCTAACAGCATGGATCCTGATCAGACTGCGCGGATGCGCAGGCTGGTCTGGATCCATGCTGGTCGCAAACCCATTTTGTTGGTTTTGTCATGGCACTGGCTCATATGTGTTTTAACAAAAGTGCTGATTCAACAACAGTTTTGAACTTTACAAAGTTAAGGGGAACAGTGACATAAAGTTTAAGGTGTGTGCCTCTCAACCAAGGGATGATGGGTTCAACGCCTACTCAGGTCACACTTATTTTTTACCAAGTTTAGTTCCAGGAAGCCTTAGTATTCAAAATGATTGATTTAAAGATTTCTGGTTTTCCCTTTTGTGGCAACAAGTTTATATATAGAGTTTAACTAGGTATGGGTTTTTTTGTAAGCAAATGAAGCTTATTGTCCTCTTTTGTTCTGACTATTATAACGCTGCTCTGTATTTACGTTCATGGTGATCACAAAAAGTGATCACAAAAGCTTACTTTTCTGATCTAAGGAGTTAAAAACAATAACTTTAGTATTTTCTGTAGTTCTTCTTTACTTCCTTTTACTTTCATATAAAATGAAAGTAATTATCAATTACAGTTGTATATACATGTGTACCCTTTTTAATAGTGATGGCATCACAATTTTCCCCACCAAACGAAACTAGCAATCCTCAATGTTAAAAATAAATTGTTGCAAGTTAGACAAAAAGAATATAACTGAAAATTAAACTTACGTCTGTAGGAACAAACATACAGTTATCTCCAAGCTCACTAGCAACTTGACTTCCATCTGATTTAGGGAGGTCACATATGACAACTTTACCACCTTGCTCAACGAATCTCCGCGCAGCTGCCTTCCCGAGCCCTGATGCTCCCCCAGTGATGAAACTCACACTGTTCTAAGATAACAATAAGCATGACCAATAATTAAACATCTAAAAGACTTTCTTATATACCTAATCATACCTTCATCACATGCAAAAATATATCTTGACAGAAAGAAATTCTGTAGTATAATACTTCAACTGTGATCTGGAATGGAGTTAAAATTCAAGGAGGTATTTATAACTACTCTCCCACACAAACGGGTCTAAAAATCAACAACAAATTTGTTTACAGTTATCAAATATGCATAGAAGTAAAATTTGCAATTTTCAAGAGATAACTGTGACTTATCTGTTATTATGTTTCAGTGAATCACTTGACACAGATATAAACAACCCTTTTATCACACCCTTGAACATGTTGCGAGTAGGACAGCTTGATGCAGGTAGAACTTTCTATATAAATGTCAGTTTTAAACTGGATAACTGCAACAAACGGATCTACTTTCAACCCGTTAATGGGTGTATATATAATTTTAGTCAGTATTTTAATTTACAAACAAGAGCCATGTCAACATGGCCATCCCCCGCCGAATGTGTTTGCTCATTGGAAGAATGTATATGTAGTAGAGCAGAATAATTCCATTTTAAGAGGTCTTTTGGTAATGAAAACTGATGGCTATAGTGATTACAGATTTGAAACCTATGTGAATACTGATGGCTGAAAATAACAAAGGGCAATAACTGAAAAATAATGCAGGGTAGGTTATCATTCTTGTGTGCTGCATCCCTCCTCAGTAAAATCTATCCACCTATGAAGTTTCAAGCTGATACCTCAAATACTTTTTGAGAAAACAAGAGCCCGGTTTGAGCCGGGTGATGCTCCCCGAATAGGTTTTGGACACAGGAAAGTACACCTCTTGTAGTTTCAGAGTTATGTCCGTGGAAAAAGTTCAAAGTGCAATAATTCTAAAATTAGGCAAGGCAGAGTTACAGTTCTTTGCACTGCACTTTAATCAATGTGATCTATCAACCTACAAAGTTTCTTGATGATATCTCTTATGATTTCCGAGTTATGTCCTGGACAATTTAAAAAGTAAAAATAAACAAAGGGCAATAACTCCAGAATTAGGCAAGGTAGAGTTATGATTCTTGGGCACTGCACATCTACCCATTGAGATTTATCTACCTACAAAGTTTCATGTTGATATCTCTTATAGTTTTACAACTATGTCCTGGATAAGATTTTTCTAAAAGGGGAGATTATTCAAAAATAAGGCTTAACAGAGTTATGGTTCTTTTGCACTGCACCTCTACTCAATGAGATCTATCTACCTACAATGTTTCATGTTGATATCTCTTATAGTTTTAGAGTTATGCCCCGGACAAGATTTTTCTATAAGGGGAGATAATTCAAAAACCAGGCAAAATAGAGTTATGGTTCTTTGACACTGCACTCCCCCTTGATGCCCTCTACCACTGTATGAAGTTTCAACAAATTATCTCCAAGGGTTTTCAAGTTATGTTCCGGACAAAGTTCAAGTTCAAAGTATTAAAATAAACAAAGGGCAATAACTCCAAAATTAGGACAAAAAGAGTTATTGTTCTTATGCACTGCACATCTACGCATTGAGATCTATTCACCTACAAAGTTTCATGTTGATATCTCTAATAGTTTTAGAGTTATGCCCCGGACAAGATTTTTCTATAAGGGGAGATAATTCAAAAACCAGGCAAAATAGAGTTATGGTTCTTTGACACTGCACCCCCCCTCAATGCCCTCTACCACTGTATGAAGTTTCAACAAATTATCTCCAAGGGTTTTCAAGTTATGTTCCGGACAAAGTTCAAAGAATTAAAATTAACAAAGGGCAATAACTCCAAAATTAGGACAAAAAGAGTTATTGTTCTTATGCACTTCACATCTACCCATTGAGATCTATTCACCTACAAAGTTTCATGTTGATATCTCTTATAGTTTTAGAGTTATGCCCCGGACAAGATTTTTCTATAAGGGGAGATAATTCAAAAACCGGGCAAAATAGAGTTATGGTTCTTTGACACTGCACTCCCCCTCGATGCCCTCTACCACTGTATGAAGTTTCAACAAATTATCTCCAAGGGTTTTCAAGTTATGCTCCGGACAAGACAACGGACGGACAGACGGACAGACGGACGGACGGACAGACGGACAGACGGACAAGGCGCCGACTATATGCTCCCCCGAAATTTTTCGGGGAGCATAAAAATTGAATTGAAAAATTAAGTATGAAAAATAACAAAGGGCAATAACTCAAAAATTATAAAAGGTAGAGTTATCATTCTTGTGCACTGCACACCTCCTGAGTTAGATCTATGCACCTATGAAGTTTCATAATGATATCTCAAAGGCCTTTTGAGTTATGCTCTGGACAAAAATTAATTTTGAAAAATAAAAAAAGGGCAATAACTAAACAATTATGCAGGGTAGAGTTATCGTTCTTGTGCACTGCACTCTTCCTCAATGAGATCCATCCACCTATGAAGTTTCAAGTTGATACCTCAAATACTTTTTGAGATAAGCTCCGGACAAAATAGTATGAAAAAGAACAAAGGGCAATAACTAAAAAATTGTACAGGGAAGAGTTATCATTCTTTTGCACAGCATTCCTCCTCAATAAAATCTATCCACCTATGACATTTCATGTTGACATCTCAAACACTTTTGAGTTATGCTCCACTCGGGTGAAAAATTATGTATGAAAAATAACAAAGGGCAATAACTCAAAAATTATAAAAGGTAGAGTTATCATTCTTGTGCACTGCACACCTCCTGAGTGAGATCTATGCACCTATGAAGTTTCATTTTGATATCTCAAAGGCTTTTTGAGTTATGCTCTGGACAAAAATTAATTTTGAAAAATAATAAAGGGCAATAACTCAAAAATAATGCAGGGTAGAGTTATCATTCTTAAGCACTGCACTCCTCCTCAATGAGATCCATCCACCTTTGAAGTTTCAAGTTGATACCTCAAATACTTTTTGAGATAAGCTCTGGACAAAATAGCATGAAAAAGAACAAAGGGCAATATCTCAAAAATTGTATAGGGAAGAGTTATCATTTTTGCGCACAACATTCCTCCTCAATAAGATCTATCCACCTATGACATTTCATGTTGATATCTCAAACACTTTTTAAGTTATGCTCCACTCAGGTGAAAAATTAAGTATGAAAAATAACAAAGGGCAATAACTCAAAAATTATGAAAGATAGAGTTATCATTCTTGTGCACTGCACACCTCCTGAGTGAGATCTATGCACCTATGAAGTTTCATGTTGATATCTCATAGGCTTTTTGAGTTATGCTCTGGACAAAAATCAATTTTGAAAAACAACAAAGGGCAATAACTCAAAAATCATGCAAGGTAGAGTTATCATTCTTGTGCACTGCACTCCTCCTCAATGAGGTCTATCCACCTATGAAGTTTCAAGTTGATAACTCAAATACTTTTAGAGATATGCTCCGGACAAAAATGTCGGACGGACAGAGACTATTTCCATATCCCCCGCCGCCTTTTCGGCGGGGGATAATAAAACATTGCTTCAGCATCATAAACATTGCAAAAACTGTACTTAAATGTTTTTTCTTCAAAGAAATGTATTAATCATCTAGTTCTATATAAATGCATGAGCCTGTGGTAAAATTTTATCTTTTGATGACATATTATTTCAAAAATGACCAAACTACAGTAGCTTTAAATGAGCTCATTTTTTTGCAAATTCATGTGAAATTGCATGAGTGCTGCTAACTGACAGACAGCAGAATGAAATTAAGTTAACGGAAAGGTTTCGAGTCTGTGCATTTCCAAACATTTATTATTTATTTAACGGTTAAATAAATTCTAGTCCAAATAATTAGACTTGTCAAAGAAACATCGAGATAATTTGAACGGGTGATGTATTTCTAACCGCTTTGAAAGTATAAAACAAGAGCCCGGTTTGATGCTCCCCGAATAGGTTTTTGACACAGGAAAGTACACCTCTTGTAGTTTCAGAGTTATTTTCCTGGACAAAGTGCAATAATTCCAGAATAAGGCAAGGCAGAGTAACTGTTCTTTGCACTGGACCTCTAATAGATGAGATCTATCTACCTACAAAGTTTCTTGTTGATACCTGTTATGGTTTCCGAGTTATGTCCCTGACAAAGTTTAAAATGTCAAGGCCGTCGTCGATGGTCCGGCCGGTCCGGCCTTGGCCGGACCAATATTTTGGCCAAAAATGAGTAAAAAAAAAAAAAAAAAAAAAAAACACGCATCGCTGATTAGCAATTTGGCACTTAACTGGCCCCTTATGCAGTGCGCGGTAATATACAAACATGACGCGAAGAAACAACAGGACACAATTAATTGACCAGGTTTATGTAAGGGTCCTACGAAGTCAAGTTCGAGTACTTTTTCGGTGTAATGCTCGCACACGACATCCTAGCATTGACAGACAACCTCAGCAAATCTCCTCAACAAGTTTCATTGTCAGCATCCGAGGGACAGGGGCTAGCAAAGCGGACTCTAGATAGTTTGATAGACATGAGATCAGACGACAATTTTGATTCTTTATGGATTAAACTTCAAAGTGAGAGTGATCGCGTCGGTGTTAACGATCCAAATGTTCCGCGGAAGAGAAAGGCGCCCACACGATTCGAGATGGGGCACGATGTTGGCTACCACCCCGTTACTTTGAAGCAATCGATCTTGCCATCGCCAGTGTTAAAGAGATAGTTGACCAACCGGGATATCGCGTACTTCAAACGTACGTATAAAGGCCACACAACGTTTGAAGACCGAGTCCACTAGAGAACATGGTTCTGTGGTAACGATATTAACCGAGACATCTTAAATGCGCAACTTCAGCTGCTACGTTCACATTTTGACAAATCAGTAAATAGTTCTGTTACTCTACCCGACATTTTGAAATTTGCGTCAGAACAGTCGGTGCTAGAACGAGCACTGTTCTCTGAGGTCGATGTGGTGTTAAAGGATGAGTTCATTACTACCAGAGAACGACGGCGATGTGTTTTTGGAAAATTTACATAAAATGAGACTCTGTGTTGTGTAAGATTATTGTTAACAAAATACAAGTTACTGCTAAACAAAAAGTGGTTATTGTTGACTCGTTATGTACTATTCTTCCATCATGTCATCTATTGTTATTTAAGCTTATACCATTGTGTGATTTATGCTAAACAATAATCCACGTACTGTAATATTTATTTTATTTGTTTATTTATAATAATCAAATAAAAATGCATCTAAAGAATTATAATAACATCAGTTATTGTTTATTTTTCATTTGCCAAATATCAGTTACATGCATTCATCTTTTATGTACACCTGTCCGTCCGTCATGCGAACCTTAAATTTCACCCTTAAAACTTACGACGCACTTAAATCTGTAAAAAATCGTTGACATATTACTATAACATGTACTAGCGGCAGGCTGTAAACTGTGCCAAATATACGGGAAAACGCCCCTGAGAGCATCCTAGAATAAATTTTTTTCCGGGGGAGCATGCCCCCGTACCCCCCTAGATTCTACCTAAAACCAATCAAATTGGCCGCACCAATCGCAAAATCGTGACGACGGGCCTGAATGTAAAAATAAACAAAGGGCACTAACTCCAAAATAAGGCAAGGCAGAGTTAAGTTTCTTGTGCACTTCTCATCTACCTATTGAGATCTATCTACCTATCAAGTTTCATGTTCAAATCTCTTATAATTATAGAGTTATGTCTCGGACAAGATTTTTTCTATAATGGGAGATAATTCAATTACGGGCTAACCAGAGTTATGGTTCTTTTGTAATGCACTTCTACCCAATGACATCTATCGACCTACAAAGTTTCATGTTGATATCTCTTATAATTTGCGAGTTATGTTCCGGACAAAGTTCAAAGAAATACTGTATGGGAAGTAAATTAATAAATAAAAAGGAATTATGGTAACATGAAAACTTATTTTGATATTAACCTGTTCACACCCTTGAATGGGCATAATGTCACTTTAATTACTAAATTAGGATAAATCAGTGTAAATTAATTCAATAAGAAAAAAAAACGTGCTTATTTTTGTTTATTTCAGCAGCTTAAACTATGTTATAACACTTTGATTCTTTATACTTTCACGTTGGTAGATTACATATTTGATAACAATAAAAATATCTGAAATGATTTTATTGCATGACAATAAGAACTAAAGTAAAAACCACGCTATTTTGCATAAATAACCTTTAAAGTGCCGATTCTTGACATTGTTGTAGAGTAGTAAAGGGCAACAACTTTCAAAAACCTATACCATACCGTGTGTAAGGCTGAACATCACTATATCGATTCCCCTACCAAGCGTACTTTTGGTACTTTGTGATATTAATTCGCTTATACGTTCTTTTTGCCAGCTTGACTAAAATAAGCAACAGAGTTTTTATCATTATTTCTTTTATTCTGTAAACATACCAACATAATGTTCTCAGAATAACAAGAAAATGAAAAAAATCTGGCATCGAAAGCATTAATCACAACAAAAGTACATGAAAATTGCAGACTTGCAGGTTTGATTGAGTCAATACATGAGGAATAATGAATAAGTGCAACATCCCTGTAAATTTTCCTTATATCCTCCATAATATTCAACTTAAATCAACCCAAGAAGTAAAATACTTAGGAGTCACTATTAGTCAAGACCTTTCATGGACCAAACATATATAAACAATAGTACATCTAAAGCAAATTCATGAGAAAAAATGTTAAAACCTCAAATAAAAAGATAAAGGAAACAGCATATAAGACCTTTGTTAAACCTCTGGTTGAATATAGTTCCATAGTTTAGCATCCTTGGCAGAAATACTTAATTTATAAGATAGAACAAGTCCAAAGATCAGCTGCTAGATATATTTTAATGATTATGACTATAAAAGTAGTGTATCATAAATGATTACTTAATTGGCAAACCCTTTAGCAGCGTCGAAACCTCAGTGCTGTAACCTACTTGTATAAAATCCAAAACAACATTGTCTTTGTTGACCAACAACACCTTACTTAAACAAGAAATCTGAACTACCTGGTACCTTTACTCAAGGACGCAATACCATCAAAATGCTGTCTTTCCTAGGAGCATACGTCTTTGGAATATTCATCCTCTAACTGTTCAGTCTAGCCCCAGTTTTAACATCTTTACTGAGATCGAATATTTATCCATTCCACAAATTATAATCTGCAAACTATATGAATTAAATAAATAGTCTTGTGGAACATTTAATCTTTTATCTTTTTGAATTTGCATAAATTATAAATAATGTCTTTTATTAACAGTACCCTGACAACGCGCCTGTTAGTCATAATCAGAATCGATTGTTAAGCAGTATCACATAGATGTAAATATTTACTCAAATTTTAGCGACTGTTTATTTGCGTCGTTCTTGACCTATTTAATTTTGTAAATGCTTAAGTACTAATGAACACTTACCTTGACTGATAATTCATTTTTTAGATTGCTTTTTGTCTGATAACAGTGTGTCAATTTCTATTGATTATTATAATGAGTTTATCAATATATTTTATTCATAAGCTAAAGTAGCCTAAAGTATTTTAGTTTGTTAGGTTGATTTATGGCAAGCAAGGTAAACAATTCAGGCAAGGTTCCACCAGGAAATGTACATGTACATGTATTTATACAAACATAGTAAGAAATATTATCTTAAATATACATTTATATATGCATATTTTCTGAGATTACTTTATATCAAGGCTTTTTTTAAAATTGAAGTTTTCATGTTGTATAATGCTTATGCCGGTAATACAATGTAGGTGGCATGAACCACTGATGTCCATAAATCAAATCGAGACTGCCATATTTCCAAACATGTCGCTCTTGGGCGTTCTTAGATTGTCCATTTTTTCTATTCCACTGCTCAGCAGCAAAAAGTGAGCACTTTAATTTGGATAATGGGGATTGACATATAATTGTTTAACATCTATGATTTAAGTAACATTAACGTTATTCATCAAACAACCTAAACCAATTAGATTTTCTTTATCCTATTTAAAAACAACTATAATTACACTTGTTTTTCTTTTTTCTTTCTATTTTTCCACCTTGATTATAATCATCATTCATCAGTTTAAGAGGTTTTTATGTTTCCGGGACAAAAGTCATAAACAATATGTGTTTTAAATATACATAATATTATGTTTGGAAAAAAAATTTGGTCAGACAAAAGTTCTTTCGGTCAGACAAGAATTGAAAGTTTGTCTGACCGAATGTCAGGCAAATGTTTCAGCAGTTTCGCGAAGCCTGTAAACATACTATTAATAATTATTATTTGAAGCATTTTGTTGACAATAAAATATTTTAATTATGCTTAAAACATACTTTTTCATTGGTTGTTTTTTCAGTTAGGCCAGATCGAGGTCACTTTTGTATTACTACTCAGTTCTATTCTTTGTATTTTGGATTAACAACCATTTCGACTACGCCAAACTGTATTTATGTTTGGCATTGGCGCCTATTGGTTACAGTTTTTTAGCCGGTTCGATTAGTGAAACGGAAGTACTACCAGAATTAGAAGAGCTCGATAGGCAGAAGACTTGGAAGAGGTAAAAGTCACGTGATCAAACAGCATGTCTGACAAGGAATAGCGAGCTAAATAAAACATTTTATTACTGCGGTTGTTTATATTTTTACTTTCTTCTGATAGAGAAAATAAATATATCATCACAAATCAAACGAAAAATCATTTATTATTTAGGTCGAAATAGTCTGACTGGACGCCATTTTGAAATGACTGCCGAACGTTCGATTGACCTTCTTTTCAAAGATCTTCTTACGTGCCAATTTTCTTCCTAGAAGAGCCCAAACGACTCAGCCTTTTGTCAGAAACGTACGAAGACAGTGTGAAAATTTTCAAATGTAATTTCAATGTCCACTGTAAAGCATGTTATAAAACATAATATTCAATACCCTTTGGTAGTGACCTTTACAGTTTAGCGGTCCGAGCACTTATGTTACATCAAACAGTACATATCTGCATTTTTATGTTTTGAAATACAACTGTATATTTGATAATTTTCACTGGAAATTTTAAAGAATAACAAATTCAACATTGGTACGGTGATGTCATGGTGTAAGACGTCATGAAGAGAAGAACGCATGACATAACGCGGCAAAACAACTAAAAATGACTTAAAATCACTAAAAAGCATGAAATAAATAGAAAAATTGTTTGTTTTGCATTCAAATTGAAATATATTTCACTCGTGAACACTAGCTATTACATTTTTACTTGTGGCTATGTGAAAATATTGCATCTGGTGTCCGCTCAGTGAAATATTATAACAATCTTACACTGGCTGCCGTTGCAGACCGGAATTTCTAGCTCAAGGGTAACTGTTTACGGCGGTAACGAGGCCCTGCGGAGTTTCCGCTAAACAGTTATCAGAGAACTAGACACTCCTGTCTGTATACCGACGGCCGTTGTTTGGTTCTTTTTCTTGCATATTACATATCAATTATTTTCAGAACAGAAATAATGGAAACTTATAAATATTCTCATTACGCATTTTTTTTCTTACAGTAGCGTATGAACTTACAACTTCATTCATAACGGTAAAATTACGTCAGCCTTGGACCTAAGATCGCTATTCATTCATAAAAGGGGCGTATTTAAAGCACGCAAGTTGTCTCATATGGGTTTTTTTCTAGCACCGGTGTAAACGGTAGATAATCCTGTCTGATATGCAAGAAATTTCGATCTTACGTGCAAAACAAACAAATATCCTCTACATGATATACTTCATTGTAATTGCAATATAAAAAAGTAAATTCATTGAAGTGTGTAAAGATATGCCGGCAAACAAGTGACATCAATTGTGACATTGTTTCCGAGGTTATTATAGAAAATAGCCGAGGCAGTTCCGAATGCTGCAGTCAGTTCAACATTCGGAACTGCCTCGGCTATTATCTATAATAACCTCGGAAACAATACGATTTGAAAGGGTAGCAAGACACTTCAACTCCCAGACACTTAATCTGTCAAATTTTGTAGACACTTCACCCCTCAAGACACTTCACCCCCCAATATCAGTAAGACTTTTCACCCCTCATCCATTTTTTTTCTATAAAGTAATTAAGCCAACAACATAATGCTTTTTATATCATATGCTTATTTTAATTATTATTTGATTAATTTAATTAAAGAACAATTTACAGACATTTCCAAGAGTAAATATTTGTTTAGTAAATAATTCAGGAACAAATAACACATGTAATAATTTCTTTAAATCATTTACATATAACATGCAATAAAACATAACATTTTACTGGTTCAAAAAACCACATTCTTATAAACCTCCATAAATTCACCCACTTTCTCCAAGAATTCCTCAGTCCTTAATTCATGATCATTGTATTGCCCACAAAGCACTTTCGTCCATTAAATGTTTATTGCATGTCACCTTGTATATTCAAACATGTTGATTGGTTGTTTATTCAACAGTTATCTCATAATTGATTAGATAATTGGATTAAAAAGGTATTATTGTATGAAAATGAAATAAATGAATAGATAAGTAAATAATATTGTATGTAAAATAAATAAATAATATTGTATGAAATAATTGAATAAATAATATTGTTTGAAAAATAAATAAATAAATAAAAGAATAAATAAAATGAAATTGAAAGAATATGAATGAATGAATGAATGAATGAATGAATGAATTATTTATACACTTATTGTAATAAATAAAAAAGAACAATTTGTATTCTCCTTACTTAAAAATGTTGCAAACAAATTAGGTAAACTTACTGGTATCACATGCTATGTGTTGCCAGTTCAGTTTGTTTTCAATGCATTCATTAAACAAGATACTGTCAATTAACGACACAAAGGAAGTGTGAAAGAGATTATTTACTGTCTTAATATATATCAAAGGAAAATTCACACAAAGATTCACACACTTCAATAGAAAGATTATTCTACAATTAGTATCACTTTCACTTTAATTGAAATTAGTATAAAATATATAAAGAAAATTAAAGAAACAATTCCTTACTAATAACTTTGTGATATGAGTCTTATTTTGGGCAAAAACGACAATTTATATCCATTGTCTTTGGTCAATTACATGATAAAATAATAATAATATATGTTAATACAATAAACATACTCAATTACTATTGTATACATTCAACATTTCTACATAAATACGAAATAAAAAATGGGGGGGGGTGAAGTGTCTCAATCAAATTTCTTAAAATGAGGGGTGAACTGTCTGAGGGGTGAAGTGTCTGCAAAAAAGGGCCCAGAATGAAGTGTCTGGGGGATTGAAGTGTCAGTAAACCTTTGAAAGTAGTTCTACCACGTGGTTTCAGATGTAAATAGAAACAGAGATAATGTAAAACGAATGTATATATTTGACATCTAATGTCTGTTCCGGTACTCTTATGATTGAAAATATGTCTGACAACAATTTGTAATTTAAATATGACCACTGATGTTCAATTTTAAACAAATCCGACTAAATGTCAACAGGTTGGTTTTTTGTACTTTCGGTTTCTACAACCATAATTATAAATTTATAAATAATGTAGTTTGCTTTTGTACCTATGAATTCACTTATTTTAGGTGGACTTTTACTACATATATTGGAAATAAACTTGTCAACAACTCCCAGCATTAAACCATTAAATTACTATTTGTTTACATGTTTAGTTTCTTAGCGTAGGTTAGACCGAAATACCGCATCCGTTCTGTGTATTCATACTATTGTTATCCGAAAACTGACGGAAAGGGCCGAGTAGTTGCGATTGTCAGTTCAACTGTATGGTGGCGTATTGTTGCGTCATATGTTCAAAATGGCAGCTTCCATGAAAGAAAATTGTGTTGAAAACTATTTCGCCGAGTTTCATGATTGCATGTCATTAAAATCAGATTATAACCAAATAAGCAAACTTAATCATATATTGACGAACTTGCTACGGGTCAAAACAGCTGACATGGAAGGGTAAGCTAATAATATGAAATTGGACGGCCTCGAGATGTTTCGACACCAAACCAATTCGTACCCAAGACGACATATCGGCTATCTCCTTTATTGAAACACGGATTTATATTACAAGGATCGGACACTTTCGTTTAGCTTAAAGTCCCGTCGCGCGCATGCGCGGAATCGGATAACGGTGGACAGAATGAGATGGCGGAACGCGCGGAGTGTGAAATATGACACATTTATACAAGAGTATGTGGTGTTATTGCAGCTCTGTGAAAAATTATACACATATGAATGTATTGATACAATATTGTTTTGTGCAGCTAAAGTAATATGAAATTAGGCAAGGCCTATGACGGGAAAGTCGTTAAAAATTCCTTTCATTCTTTCCGTTTTAAAGGTGTTATTCGGTATTACATGCACCGCTTCCGTTTTCACTCGGAACACTCGACGATTATCATTTATCCGAAAAGTTGAGATTTGTTCCGTTATCGGAATACCCCGCCTATTATCATTGAGTTACATTGTAAATGGCGGCGCCCGACTAGAACTGACACTGAAAATTTCATTGATAGGTATAGAATTCTATATATTTTTTAATTGTTTTTTATTTGATTTTCTTTTACATATACACGTGTAGTCTATAGCCGGGCAAGCCAAAGCCCGGACCCGCTTCGCGGGCCCGGTCTTTGACTTCCCCGTATTAATATATGAAAATATGCCGATAGAACGCTGCGACGCTTAGTTAAAAGGTACCTAATTTAAAAAATGTTCGCCTATTGTTTAGGCATACTCTCTACACTTTGACGCCCTTTTACGTCAAGCATAGATTATTACCGCGATTCAGATTAAGATAATTATTTTTTACATGGTTTAATAGTGGCATTGCAAAAAAAAATGTTTCCTGATTGCTAAAATACTTTTAAAGAAATTCATGTTTGAAATGTGTCTTTATTTCTGTGAATTATTTCCAAATGATTTGTACATGTTTTATTTGATCTACCTGTATATTAGTATAAATATAGTAAATATTCTACTAATTAGTGTATTAAATATATTTTCAGATCATTCTAGACATTCGTTCATATATAGATGAATTCATTAGATTGGCAAGGAAGAAACTTTTATTGGCATACAGAACAGCTGTTTTTATATATATATTTTTTTTTGAAACATATTTTTTTCATAGTTATCCTTCACAATTCACGTCAAATGATTTATTTGTCATATGTTTATTTTCATTATTTTCCAAAGAAAGGACTATACAAATTAAGTTGTTTATTTTCAATTTCATTTATAAATGTAAATTATGTTAATAAAGAAAATAGATTTACATTGTATTTATATATATCCTATTCAGAATCATTTTTTTACCACACATGCCATGGACTGTAGTTAAAGACCGCGCACATACAACATAAACATTCAATTTGTATTTGTTTTTAAAGATTGGGTGTTGAAATTATCACATGTGACCTGATAACGAAAGTTTGATAACAAAGTTTTTCAATTATCACTTGTTACCTGGTAATTAACCCCCTTCAAAAGTAATTAAACTTCAAAGAAATTTAAGCGATGTGTAAAAAATAATCAACAGTTACTTTTATTTCGCATAATACTGACTCAAACTGTAAAGATTTTTATTGTTTTTTTTAGCGTTACATTAAAAATATCAGAAATATCTTTCTACAGGCATTCAAATAAAAAGAATAATTAAAATATACGAGTGAAATAATTAAAATATACGAGTGACATTAAAAGGCCGGAATCGAGACAGCCACACGAGAGTACTTTACTGTTACGATGATTGTCTACTTCACTGCACCGACATTTGAAAACAGATTTACAAAAAATAATAATGATATAAATGATGAAGAAAATTTAAATATCCTATGAAAATGGCAATACATGTATTGACAATATCAGCAATATCTTGTTTTTAAAAAAATGAATAAATTTACTTTACGTGTTGAGCGAATTGTAAAGCCCGCAAAACATTACCCGTAAAACAATTGTGCGTCAATTAATTTGACTACATACCCAAATAAATCTTAAATATTGCATCTTTGATGAACTGTGAATAACTTCCATCGGCTTCTTTTTTATTTTGAAATTGAATTTATTATGTTACCGTAATAATAAATTTCAAATATCTGCTTTTTATATAAAAAAAAAATGTAAATTTACCGCGGATTTCGTCAAGTTAATTTCTTAATCGTCGTTGCAGACAGATAGTCTATATCTTCAAAAAATAAATTAGATATTTGAATTAAACAAGCATTTTTCTTGAAAATAAACTTTAAATTTCAAAAATCGGATAATAAATGGAAAAGCTATATGGTATTTTGTAAAGTAGGTATCCGTTGCGAACGGGCATTTACACTTAGCGCCGATAAATTATCGATCGATGTACCTTTATCAGGTGCACGACAAGATATTTAAGCATTTATATAGGGTTAACTGGGAGTGTCCGATCCCTGTAATATAAATCCGTGATTGAAAAAGCAAACATTTATGGTTTTTAAATAAAAAGTCTCAAATTTAATTCTTAGTGTCATAACTCATATTTGCTTTTTAATTTGTCAATTTATAATAGATTATAGAGCTGGTCACATAGGGTTTTTTTTTTTTTTAGATCAACAAAATGTGGGGTTACGAAGAAGATGGTCGCCCTCATCTATGTAATATCAGATTGTAAAATCTGTTGGTCTTGCAGTAGAAAATATTAAGACTAGCTGGTCACATTGCCCGATCAGGCTAAAAATTTTGTTCATAAATATTAAAATTTCTCATAAGGCAATGAAGATATTTCTTTCACATATATATATAATTTGCTATATTTTTTAAGATTTACATATATGAAACAAAAACAAATTGAACACTTTTGGTTCTTATAGAAATATTTTCTTTTTATATAAGTTTTTGAAGTCGTGGCGGTTTGCATATAATGCATAATGATTTTCTTTTATGTTTTATGTATTCATTGTTAAAGAATTGTCCAAGCATGTCTACCAGGAAAAGAATATTAGCCATAAATATATAGATAAATGATATTGGCACACTTACTTGGAGCATTTAAAAACAAAGTCCACTTTTATTTTAAACATTGCATTAAAACACACTTTTTATTGACTTTGAATATTGACATGTCAATAAAATCGGAAAAAAGAAAATAAGTCTTACAAATCTAGATTCAATCAAGATATTTTAATTTCAATGTGTCTTTGTGTGTCATTTTTGTGTCGCCTTGATTTTTTTTTGAGTTATTGCCCTTTTTAATTTTTATACTTCATTTTTGTCCGAGCCATTTCTCCAAAACTATAAAAGGTATGGACTTGAAACTAAACAGGATGATAGATCTTATTGAGAAGAAGTGCAGTGCATAAAAAACAGTACTCTGCACGTTTTAGTTTTGGAGTAATTGCCCTTTGTTAATTTTCATGCTTTATTTTTGTCCGTGCCATATAGGATGATAGATCTCATTAAGAAGAAGTGCAGTGCACAAAACTGGTTCTCTGCACTTCTTATTTTTGAGTTATTGACTTATGATTTTATAGTTATTACCCTTTGTTAATTATAATGTCCCGGCCATTTCACCTAAACTATAAAAGCTATGGACTTGAGAATCTTCATAGGATGATAGATCTCATTGACAAGAATAGCAGTGCACAAGAACCGGTACTCTGTACTTCATGATTGTAAATTTGTTGCCCTTTGTTAATTATTATACTTTATTTTTGTCCAGGCCATTTTTCCTACACAATAAAAGCTACTCAAGCTACATCAATCCTGATGTAATATTGTTACAATTAGTTGATATGCCATTAAAGTTCAAGGTACATAGACATTGTAATAGTGGTGTTTAATTTGATAAAACAACATATAATTATCAGGAAATATGAGTAAAGTTGAAAATGTTATTTGAACCCTTAGTTGTGATTGTCAGTTTGAACCCACAAGTGTTGGCCAAGTGTCAATAGTTACTCCAAATATACAATCTTTTTAACAAGCTATTCATATTGATATTTTATCTTAACTATATTTTCAGAGTGAGACTGGAGGGGACATTTATATCAGATATGGAGAGTCTTGTTGATTTATCGCAACAACTAACTGAGGACATTTGTGAATGTGTAACCAACTGTTACAGATTGTGTAGAAATGTATGCGCTTTGTGCACAGAAAATCAGACACGTTTACATGACTCCACTAGATTCATACAACTTACACACTCTTTGATGATAAATTGTTTACAGTGTAACAGGAGATCTGAAGGCTTGATATTACTCCTTAGATGTACTGTGCAGTTTTTAGCAAATTATTCTTCTGGAAATAAGGTTAATCAGACTGAAATTCAGGGAAAGTTTTGTGATGTTTTTAGGTAACATGAATATTATATCTTTGCATATACAAATAACTTAAGTGAAAATATTTTTATTTCTTTTTCAACAATAAATAAACTAAGATAGAAGTAATGTTTCGTACATTTCATTTTTAATACAAAATAGTACAAATTTGCCCTTGTCCATCCATCCTGATATCATTCTGTCTATCTGAAGACTGACAAAACTGTTAAATATTTGGTGGGGCATCTGTGTCCTGTGTGAGACATTTTTCTTGTTTATGTTTAAAGTTAGAAAATCAAAAGTATTGCTTGTTTTTCTTCAGCCCATCTATAAACTCTGTTGCATACATCAAATATTTGTTTGTCTTTGCTATTAAGTATTTATCTCTGTGATAACTTATACAGGAGTTTGTTACTACTGGAGGACATAAAGCTAAGAGAATATGTGTTGATGGTAGTTCACATTATACTGACTGATATAGCATCGGTTATGGCAGCAGGGCTAGGTGACACACAGTGGTCATTACTACATACTTCTTTACAAGTTACTACTGAGTCTGATTCACAAAATGGGTATGTTCACTGTATAACTTTTCATTATATTTTATTATTATAACATTATATCTAAGCATCCCATTTATCTGAAACATATTATTCACAAAAGAAGATCTATATATCTATATTGATTCGCAAGGGATATTGTGTCCAAGGCACATAATTCTAGCATGGATTTTATTTGGACAATATCCCTTGTGAATTTAAAAAAAAATCTTGGTTTAAGTTTTACATGCATCATCAATCTTTAAAGCTACAAAGCTTCAAAGGTCACTATCCAAGGCCCATAAGTCTGACAGAATTTTGAATGAATTCAGGGTCTATTTGAAAGACCCTGATTAATTGTAGCGCATTGTAAACTTAAAAAATTCTTAAGTCATTGACCAAGACTCGTATCTATGTCATATACTTCAAATAAAATGTTCCTTTTTAATTTTGATTTCTTTATTATCCAGGCTCTTGTTTGACTATCAAACCCTGAACGTAGTTGAGTGCACTGTCCTACTGTTATATATAAAAGCAGAAAATCAATTAAAACTCTTGGGTTGGCAGTTACATGTGAAAAGGAAGGTAGCTTGATGGACCCATAACTATTTTTTCCCTGGACAATAATACTGTCCTCCGATGGAAGAAATGTTTCACTTGTTGTTTAGATATGTCATTTAGAGTTAAAAGAATAAATGTAAAAGTAAACTTGCATAGATATGATTTATTTTACAGTTTATTAGTGACAGAGGACTGTCTCAGGATTCCGGGTTTCTGTGAGAAATTGTTCAGTGAAATGTCAATACAATCAAGGTTTGCTTTCCATCATATTATCCTATAATGATAACAGATATATTAATAATAAAATGTGATATTTTCAAACGATTGATTTTATAAATTGTTAAAGTTTTTTCAGAATGTTTTAAAAAGTCCATTGTTATTCCCCCATAACTTTGGTAGGGGTAGGGGGGCAAGTTGGCGTGTAGATGTGCCCTTGTCCATCAGTCTCCCTGTCCCGTTGCCTGTTTGTAGACTGACAGATCAGTGAAAGATGGGTGCAATACTGTCCTGTATATAAGTTATTTCAAAATGTTTTTAGTAGTGTACTGTGATACATTAAGTGAACTACATTATTATTGGCTGCATTATTTTGATATAAATAAAATCATTTAATCATTTATTTCCAGAAACTTAATACATGTATCATCTATCAAAATTCCTATATGCTATCTAAGTAAGTCACACAGAGCCTAACAGTTTATGTAGCTGACTTTAAGGTAGTGTTACTGTAATGCTTTACCGCCAAAAGATTTCTAACATCGGCATATATCGTAATAAATCGGTAATTTATGGAACGTTATTTTTCACAATCTATGGTATTCAATAATTTTTGACCTCTTATAACTGAAATTTTGTATATAGCTATAAAGGATGAGTGATTGTTAATAATCCTATGCCCAAGGTTTTGAAAAAATATAGTTTCCGAAATAACTGATTTGGTACGCTATTGACCGATGTTAGAATTTTTGGGCGGGAAAGCATTACAGTAACACTACCTTAAAGTTAGCTACTTAAATCACTTGTCCCTAACCAATACAGGTTCAAATCTGACAAGGGGCTTTCATTTCTTTCATTTCGTTAAGCTATCAACCTAGATAATTAAATGGAAGTTTTTTGGTTCAAATCAGATGCCCGCTTAAGGATATACTATGCTCATCTTTACGTAAAATACTTTTATTTTAGAAATTTATTGAAATCTTGGAAATTGGGGACTGAATATATCTAAGCTGAATGAAAGAATGCATAGATAGAGGATATTAAATGAGTGTAGATTGAATATTGAATTTATTGGACAAGATGTATAAAATTATATTATGCGAGCCTCTCGCAAGCGTAATATCATTTCATTCAATGAGTTCAATAAATTAAGTGATGAATCTATGCGAATAAAATATTCTATCACTTAACTAACGTAACAACTGTTTACAGTCAAAATAATCGTTTTTGATTATTGACATGCCTATAGTGTAATAGTAACATTTAGCACGTCTTTATGCTTTGTTTGTATAACGTCAAAATATATAATCCCGTTTTTACAGAGACGCAAAAGCGGCATGGGTATGTGATAAACTATTTGGGAAGCTGCATCAAATATCAAATTTGAGCATAATATTTCTTGAAATAATGTTGTTGCTCTTTATTTTGAAATCTACTTGATAGGTTTGTCTGTGTAAAATTGTTTGTTTTTTGTTTCTTCAGGATTTTGATATCAGAGGTTCTGATAAACACTTTACAGAGATTACCTGAGGATAACATGGTGACTGCTGACAATGTGTCAGCTGCTGACAATGTTGCATCTGCTGACAATGTTCTGTCTAGTGACATTGATACAGATCAGAATTTTGATATACCAGCAGTTAGTAACATACACTATATTGCAGCAGACTTCATACTCCAGTCACATCTCATTTCATCAATGTCCACAGACTCCTCAAATGATTTGCAGGTAAGTGAAGTTTCTATTTAAACGCTATATTGTTTTTTACATAGCATAAATTTGTTTTAGCTTGTTTATTTAACTGCTATGTGAGTAGTGGTATTTATGACTTGCAGAGGCCAACAGTTTAAAGTAAGGACAGGTAGTACATTCATCTAGTCACATTCTATTTAAAATTTCAATTTTACTTTGGAATCAAAACCAATTAAAGTGACCATGGACAGCTTCAAATTCAAAGCAGTTCAATGATGTTACAAAAATCCATCTTTAAAATGGTTATGATTTACTTTAAGTTAGAATTTTCTTTTGAGCAGAGCAGTATTATATTTTACTTATTATTTGGGATAAAACATTGTTATACTTTCAGCGCTGTAGCTTAATCTAGTGCTATGGCGCTTGAGAGATGTTGCAATTTTTCATGATCTCATAATCCGGTTCAAATAAACAAGAGTCAGCAATTAAGACCTGTTGTGTGACTTGTGTCCATTGCTGTCAAAGGATCTCACCTTTACAAATATTTTCAAGTATTAAGTTAACGTTTTCAGTGCAAGCATTGGAGTGGTACTTGCATTTTATGTAAGTTTAGTTAATTAATGTATTTTGATGTATTTTAGGTAATGTGTACAGTAAAGGAATTAGAATGTTTGTGTATTGCAAGTGCTCATCATCGCTTGTATGGTTCCCTACAGGAAAATGAACAACTTTTAAAAACTGCCATTTGTAAGTACTGTACAAGATAACTAAGTTCTATACAATTTTTGTAAAGGTTAGCATATTGGAAACTTTATGCAGCTTCCACAGCCTATACATCTGTTCAGTCGGACAAGGCTCTCTATTACAAAATCAAGTTAGTTGAGCATATTGTATAAGTAAACAGAATAAACATCTCCTAAAAATTAAACTCGTACCTGGAAAGAGCAAGTGGCTACAATACGAAACCACTGTGAAAGATGCATAGAGCTTCCAGCATGTTAACCTTTAAAAAACATCATATAGAACTTAGTACAACTGTCCTTGTAAATAGTAAATAATAAGTAGTAAATAAATAATAAGTAGTCAACTGCAAATTTTTAAGAGTCACTTTAATATACCAATGTTTTGGCTTAACAGCCTTCTTCAGGGTACATAAATAAATAATAAACAATAAACAGGAAATTATGTCAGTGTGAACCGCCTCCGTGGTGGAGGGGTTAGAGTCGATGACTTCTAATCTAGTTACCTCTCTGGTGTGGGTTCGATCCCCAGGTGATGCTTTGGTAGTTTAGCACGAAGGAAGGTAGTCTAGTACTGGTGTAACTCTCCAGGAAGGATGGTTAGGAAACTACCCGCCAATATGACTGAAATACTGTTGGGAAAAGGTGTAAAATGAAACAAACAAACAAGTGTCAGTGTGACATGATGTCAATAGCGACCACATCAAAACATAACAAAGAGTTTGGCTCAATTTGATGCATTATACTAGTAAAAAAAGTATTTAATGTGCAAATATTAAGTAAAACCACCAATAAAACTGACTAAGATATATTCAAAATACTTTTAAGTAACTGACAGACATTAAAACCAAACTTCGGAATTCATTCCATTTGGTGATAAATATCCAAATAACTAACTGTACTTTTGTAATAGACAAATATTGTAAATAATAGACAAATATTGCTACTAACACTTTAAAGAATTTTATTTCTTGTTTTAGCCTTATTAAAGTGTATAGAAGAGATTGGTAAGCAAGGAGACAATGTGTTTACAAATGTGGATAAAATGTCAAAACAAAGGGAGGTAAATACAGATCACCCAGTGTATGGATTGAAGAGAGATATAATCCGTCTGCTTGGTAATATGGCATACAAACACCAAGTCAACCAGAATTTGGTATGTTAGTTGTTTTTTAGCTTCACTTTTTAGCTCGACTATTCGCAGAATAATCGAGCTAATGCAGTCACCCATTTGTCGGCGTCGGCGTCCCTGTGGTTAAGTTTTTGTATGTAAGCTGGTATCTCCATAACTACTGAAGGGAATGGATTGAAACTTCACACACTTGTTCTCTGTGATTATCTAAGATGATTGGCACAAGTCCCATAACTCTGATTTGCTTTTTTTCATAATTATGCCCCTTTTTCGACTTAGAAATTCTTGGTTAAGTTTTTGTATGTAAGCTGGTATCTCCATAACTACTGAAGGGAATAAATTGAAACTTCACACACTTGTTCTCTGTGATTATCTAAGATGATTGGCACAAGTCCCATAACTCTGATTTGCTTTTTTTCATAATTATGCCCCTTTTTCGACTTAGAAATTCTTGGTTAAGTTTTTGTATGTAAGCTGGTATCTCCATAACTACTGAAGGGAATGGATTGAAACTTCACACACTTGTTCTCTGTGATTATCTAAGATGATTGGCACAAGTCCCATAACTCTGATTTGCTTTTTTTCATAATTATGCCCCTTTTTCGACTTAGAAATTCTTGGTTAAGTTTTTGTATGTAAGCTGTTATCTCCATAACTACTGAAGGGAATTGATTGAAACTTCACACACTTGTTCTCTGTGATTATCTAAGATGATTGGCACAAGTCCCATAACTCTGATTTGCTTTTTTTCATAATTATGCCCCTTTTTCGACTTAGAAATTCTTGGGTTAAGTTTTTGTATGTAAGCTGTTATCTCCATAACTACTGAAGGGAATGGATTGAAACTTCACACACTTGTTCTCTGTGATTATCTAAGATGATTGGCACAAGTCCCATAACTCTGATTTGCTTTTTTTACATAATTATGCCCCTTTTTCGACTTAGAAATTCTTGTTTAAGTTTTTGCGTGTAAGCTGGTATCTCCATAACTACTGAAGGGAATGGATTGAAACTTCACACCACTTGTTCTCTGTGATTATCTAAGATGATTGGCACAAGTCCCATAACTCTGATTTGCTTTTTTTTTATAATTATGCCCTTTTTCGACTTAGAAATTCTTGGTTAAGTTTTTGCATGTAAGCTGGTATCTCCATAACTACTGAAGGGAATGGATTGAAACTTCACACACTTGTTCTCTGTGATTATCTAAGATGATTGGCACAAGTCCCATAACTCTGATTTGCTTTTTTTTATAATTATGCCCCTTTTTCGACTTAGAAATTCTTGGTTAAGTTTTTGCATGTAAGCTGGTATCTCCATAACTACTGAAGGGAATGGATTGAAACTTCATACACTTGTTCTCTGTGATTATCTAAGATGATTGGCACAAGTCCCATAACTCTGATTTGCTTTTTTTCATAATTATGCCCCTTTTTGGACTTAGAAATTCTTGGTTAAGTTTTTGTATGTAAGCTGTTATCTCCATAACTACTGAAGGGAATGTATTGAAACTTGAAGAGTTTGTACCTTTTCGGACAATTTTATGTATTCATATAGGTAAGCATTATTATACTCAATGAAACACCCTTGTGACAAATTTTCGAATAGTCGAGCGTTACTGTCCTCCGACAGTTCTTGTTGAAGAATACGGAAACTTTTGTACTCACTCTGATGTTGGTATAGTTGTCACACTTTGGTTAAGTTTATTTGTGCAAGTTGGTATCTCCAAAACTACTTAAAGGGACTCCACTGAGGTTTTTTTTGACATGATGGGACTGAAAAAAAAATCCAGATAAATGTACCATTTGATGTAGGTTTAGACCACTAATCTTTGTGCAAAATTTCAGATCATTGGCGCACTTCGTTTTTCCAGAATAATTATTCAAATTGTAAAAAAAAGCTTTTAAAAGCTTTATTAATTCAAAACGGGCTAAGAGAAAAATAAAAATATGATTTTCAATTTATTTCAAAGTATATTTCTTAACTATCTTTGCATATATTTCTGTTTAAAGTGTCCCAGCTCATTTATGTAAGAAATTCAAATGTTATGTTTTTAGGCTTTTAAACCTCAGTGGAGTCCCTTTAAGGGAATGGATGAAAAAAATTATTTTCGCACACTTGTTCTCTGTGATTATCTTACATTATGGGCATAGGTCCCATTACTTTTGAGTTACTTTTTTGCAGAGTAATGGCCTTTTTTTACTGTTGTAAATAACACATGTTTATTTGAAGGAAAAAAATGAATTATTTTAAAAGAAATAAATTAGAATAGATTAGAAGCTGGATTTTAGATATGGGGAAATAAAATGAGATCCTGATGTGAAAATGATTGGGGGAAAATAAAAGATTTTGTGAAACCATTTTTGCCTATGAATACTTTCTTTTCTTTTTTTGTTGAATGCAAAGATTTTTAGTCCCCTACCGGTTTATCGGAGGGGACTTTAGGTTTACCCTCCGTCCGTCTGTCTGTCTGTCCGAGCAGACGAGAGCTACATTATGAGGTTTAGGTTTATGTACAGGCACTCTGTATGGGGTTCATTCCGTAGAGACATGTATTATGTGGTTAAAAATGCTCTTATGGGGTTAAAAAAATTTGCTCTTGTGGGGTTAAGAGATCAAAGGAATAACCCCACAAACACGTCTGCTAAGTACGTCCGTCTGTCTGTCAGTCCGTCCGTCCACAAAACTGGATCCCGCGATAACGTAAAAAGTACTGAAAATATTTTTATGAAACTTAATATATGGATAGATGGCAGTATGGAGATTATGCACGTCTTTTTTTTTTCTTCCTATGTTGAAAATTCTGGTTGCTATGGCAACAAATAGTCTGAAAATATGGCAAATTTAACACATAAACTGGATCCAGTGATAACTCAAAAAGTACTGAAAATATTTTTATGAAACTTGAAATATGGGTAGATGGCAGTCTGGAGATTATGCACATCTTTTTCTTTTCTGCCTATGTTGAAAATTCTGGTTGCTATGGCAACAAATAGCCTGAATTTCAAGATTTCTGATTTAAATTTTTCAGCTTTTTCACTATATGTTCTTTATTTCTTAAGGTGTTTACTTTAAATTTAAGTTTCTGGTCATCAACCACATCATATGTGACAAGGTTTATAACTCTAGCACAAAAATTATCAGAATTACGTCCCTTGAACTTAGATTTTTTAGGGGAAAAAAATGTTGTCTTTTTTAAATAACTTCTTTATTTCCTAATGTTTCTACTTCAAACTTCATATATATGTTTCTTATTATCACTCGACATTTTTGAGAAGGTTAAATATTCTAGCAAGACTATTTCCAGAATTATGTCCCCCTTGAACTTAGATTTTTTTTGAGAAACTGGTATTTTCACTCCAACTTCTTCATTCCTTATAGGATTTACTTTAAAATCCCGCATCGTAATAATATGACAAGGTTGTATAAACATAATTTCCTTACTAGGCATGGAAACTTAACACATTACTGTGATATAGACAAACTTAGAACTCAAAAGATTTAAGTTCATTCATGTCATTCATTCACTGGTAAAATTGAATGGCAAATGGCCCATCAGAATGTTGCTGGGGTTCTAACCGGTAGGGGACTTATGAATTGCTTGCAATACTATGATAATTGCTTGTTTAATAAGGTACCCATTGATATTTTTAACATGCATACATGTGACATCCCGGCGGGATTTAAAAAAATCCCGCTATTTCAACACTGATCCCGATTCCCGATTTTACAGCATGAATTCCCGATATTAAAAAAAAATCAACATAAAAAAAATCAAACACAGCACCTGAAATGTAAACCGTGCCTCCGGGCATTGATTGTTATCTGTCCATATCCTAAATTATAGCGGATTAAATGTTGAGTCGCTAATTGACAGCAAGGTGACGTAATAAACAGTTCCAATACCCAAAGTTATTCTCACATGTTTAACTTAACACGTGTCGTGTGTCAGTCAATTGACCTCTTTTGTAATTTGGCAGTAGGTATTACACGCTACGTCATCAAAACTACCCTGCAAATTTACAAGTATGAATTCGGCTCAACCTTTCTTTGATTAGTGCCGCACTGATAAAGATAAAAGGTGAGCAGAATCATTTAAAGTGGATCATTCAAAAACCTGTTTGAGATGTCTATAATTAACCTTTTTTTAGTCAGTGGGTAATTTTTTTGTTTTGTTTAGGAATTACACAATCATCGAGATAAAAATGTGGATTTAATTAACGGAACGATTCTTGCATTTATTTTGAGTCTTCTACTTATGTTACGTTATTTAACTGTCAGAGTCTTATGTTCATGAATAGTTGTTGCACGTTTTCAAATAGCTTGTGTTTTAAATTATTAGCAAATTATTAGCCAATTATTATAATTCTTCAAACTGAAAATAATGACATGTGAAAATGTGACTGTTTTAGAAGTAGCCTGTATGACTACACTTATTTATTTATCTATTTATTTATTTTTTGGTGAAATAAATTAATATTGATCAACAAGAAAATCATAAAAAGTATGATCCTTTAATGATTTTGAGGGTAATATAGATTCTTTGAACCAAATGTGCCAAAAACGCATTGAAATTCGAGTCGATAAAAAATCCAGTTTTTAGCCTCAAAATCCAGCTGAAAATCCAGTTTTGGCCCATTTCATTTGTCACATGAGAAACAAAAAGTTAAGAATACTTTTGAAAAAGACTCTTAAAACATAATTATACAAAATATGTAATTGTAAAATTTATTTTGTTTATATGTGTATGTTACAATGTAGGTATGTGTACATGAATATTGTACAATTTAAGTTCAAATTAATGCACGAGTTGGATTCCCTTGATATACATCAGGGCTATTTTCACAGATAGGAGAAGGGGCCCTACTCTTTAATTGGGGGTTGGGGGATAACATGGTATTTTTGTGAAAGGGGAGAAAAAAAATTGATGTAAATTCAATTTTTATAAAATATCTGCATAATTTTAAAGAATTTTCCTGAGGAAATTTTCCTATAAATGGCCTCTGCTATAGAAGTAAAAAACTTTTAGAGGAAAATAAACTGTATTGCGCCTTAAGAAAAAACAATAATAATAGAATAATTTAATAGAAAAAAAAGGATATTGTAATTTTCATGTTTGATTAATGTTTTGGCATGTTTAATGATCAATAATGATGAGGTTAGAAGTCATGATTAATGTAAAAAATAATAAATTTAATTTCAGATCCGAGAACTGGATGGTATACCCCTTATTTTAGAGCAGACCAACATTGATGGCAAAAATCCTTGTATCCTTAAGTAGAAATTATCTGTAATTACTTCAACTGACATGTTTCCCACTGGTAGTGCTATAGTAGCATTGGGGAATTTCTTCTATGATACCACAACAAAAAACTAGTACTTCAGTTACTAATATGAAAATAACACATGCCACTTAGGGTAATATTGCATAATAGCAACCCTTGAACTGAAATAACACCAAGGCTCCAACTCGGGTGTTATTTCAGTATTATGTACTATTACCTTGAGAGATGAGTGTTATTTCTATTATACTGAACCAAAATTTTAATGTAATTTTTCCTCTATGAGAGCCATTAATCATTGATTGTGGCCAAGGGAGAGAACTAGAACATTACGTTTTCTTAAGTCTATATAGATTACTTGCCCCTGGGGAATGTTGCAGGATGATATTCATTTCAGATTGAAATAACACCATAGGACATCATATAAGGCTATATAGTAAAAATAAAGAAAAAAAGTTTACCTGAGGTATACAAATGTAATAATATCCATTGTGGTTTGTTAAGTCTTCAGATACATGTATATATATATATAGCATTAAGTGTGTAAAATGGATTTAGGAGATATATGTGAATCATCCTTGCAAATTCTCTATGATGTTTCTCTTACATACAGACCTTTTAATATCTTCTTCCTATGAACCAATGACTGAGTAAATACACATCAGAGTTAAAAGTAGAAAATCTATTAAACATTACAATTAATGATGATGGATTAATTAACATTGTATAAGAAATACCTATACTCCATTAGTCCTCTTAAATTAATTCTTTTCCTGAATTTCTTGCATGGACTAACCAGCTACCGTATTTTGGACTGTCCATTATACAAGTTTAGAATTATCAATATGAAACATTGAAGCTGGTGAGCTATTAGTATAGAGCCTGGCCAGACTGCATTGATGTACAGGCTAGCTTTGCTCTATACTGGTGACAAAGGTTTATCACTTTCAGGTCTACCATCTAGCAGGGTAAAGACTTCTTATTACATGTACTTTTTTAGCTCTTTTGCTATTGAATAGACCAGGGGTAAGATAATATATGCATTCACATTAAGTTAATTGATTGTTTATTTAATAGTGAAAACTACCAGTAAAGTTTTGTTTGAAAATTTAACTTTTACGTATGAATACTAAGAAAATTAATAAAAGTGGAACAAACAATCAACACAGGATAAATTTTAAGGTTTTATTTAATGACGATAACTGACGTTTCTACTCTCAGGAGTCTTGGTCAGGGTTATTTTTTGTATGAACACTAAAAAAAGGTAATACTAATCCTTAACAGAAAAACAGTTATAACACAATGGTCTGTGTTTGCTATACATAATTTAACAGAGCAGAATGCTGATAATCGGCAATACATAGCACAGTTGAAGTTACAGGGGGTGGACAATAACCAGGCAGTATTGAAGGAGAGGGGACTGAAAGCGGAAACTGATGGTCGTAAAGTTGTTATAAAGAAAGACACTGATTGAACTGTTATATTTTAATGTATGATTAGTATTTAAACCTGCTTAATACATTTCTGTCTTGTGATGATATGAAAGCATGGTCCATTAGTTTGGATCATAGACAGAATATGTGTGTTTCATATAAGCTAAGATGGACTAGCAGTAAGAAAGAGAATTTGAAACATCCTCAAGAAGGATTTATGCAGGATTTCTAATCAACGTTATAGATTGTATGGAATAATAATTTTATTAATAAAACAAAAAATGAAAGACTAATACCTAGACATTTCTTATATTTACATATTATCTAATGGGATGACAATTTTTGAGACAAAATCCTTCTGAAAAATGTAAGGAAATCTACAACAATGAGAGACAGCTTTCTTGAATTGTTAACAAGCTGTGATAATAACTTGACAGTGACAAAAATAAACCCAGGGCAACCTTCACTCCATCATTCCCATAAATCAGGCCAGCTTCACTCCATCACTCATAAACCAGACCAGTCTTCACTCCATCACGCATAAATCAGGCCAGCCTGCTCTCAATCACTCCCAAAAAATCAGGCCAGCCTTCACCACTCCCATAAATCAGGCCAGCCTTCACTCCATCACTCCCATAAACCAGCCCAGCCTTCACTCCCACAAATCACTTCAGTCTTCACTTCATCACTCATAAATCAGACCAGCCTGCACTCAATCACTCCCATAAATCAGATCAGCTTTCACTCCATCACTCCCATAAATCAGACCAGCCTGCACTCCATCACTCCCATAAATCAGATCAGCCTTCACTCCATCACTCTCAGAAATCAGGCCAGTCTGCACTCCATCACTCCCATAAATCAGGCCAGCCTTCACTCCATCACTGTTTGTCACAGAGGAAGTTTGTTACAGGGGAAGGGAAAGTCTGTTACATAAATTCAACAATGTACTGGTTCAAGGCAAGCTGTGATAATAACTTTACATTGACAAAACAAATCAGGCCAGCATTCACAATACTCATAAATTAGGCAAGTCTGCACTCCATCTCTCCCATAAATCAGACCAGCCTTCACTCCATTACCCATAAATCAGGCCAGTCTGCACTCCATCACTCATAAATCAGACCAACCTTCACTCGATCACTCATAAATCATGCCAGCCGTCACTCCATCACTTATAAATCAGGCCAGTCTGTACATCACTCCCATAAATCAGGCCAGCCTGTGCTCCATCACTCCCATAAATTAGGCCATCCTGCACTCCTTCACTCCCATAAATTAGACCAACCTTGACTCCATCACTTACATAAATCAGCCCAGCCTTCACTCCCATAAATCAGGCCAGTCTTCACTCCATCACTCATAAATCAGGCCAGTCTGCACTCCATCACTCCCATAAATCAGACCAGCTTCACTCCATCACTCCCATAAATCAGGCCACCCTGCACTCCATCACTCCCATAAATCAGACCATGCTGAATAATTTTAGCTGCTTAAATATTAGTTGCTAAATATGTTAGTTGCTAAATTGTTCAAAGTCTATTGATAAGGCAAAGGAGGTCTGCTACAGTAGAAGAGTAAGTTTGTTACAGGGGAAATCTGTTTCATGGGAAGTTTATAATAGAGAAGGTTTGTAATACTGGAAGTTTGTAATGGGGTAGTCTTTTACAGGATAAAATTTCCATATGGAAAGTTTGTTTAGGGGAAGGGGAAGTTAGTTACAGGGAAGGGGAACTTTGTTCAGGGTCTTAGGGAATGTTGTTTCAAGGGAAGTCAGTTACAGAGGAAGTTTATTACAGGGAAATCTATTACAGCAAGTCTGTTACAGCGTAAGTTTTTTACAGGGAAAGTATGTTACAGCAAGTCTGTTACAGCGTATGTTAGTTACAGCAAGTTTGTTACAGCGTAAATCTGTTACAGGGGAAGTATGTTACAGGAAAAGTTTTTAACAGGGGAGGTTTGTGACAGGAGAAGTTTGTTACAAGGGAAGTTTGTTAAACGAAAGTCTGCTACAGGGGAGGTTTGTTACAAAGGAATTCTGTTGTAGGAGAAGTTTGTTTCAGGGGAAGTTTGTCACAGAGGAAGTTTGTTACAGGGGAAGTTCGTTACATAAATTTAACAATGTAATTGTTAAATGCTTCATCAGCGATAAGAGACCCATCTCATAATCTTATCTGGGGTACAACAATATCATTCTCAAATTGGTACATGATGTCCCAATGAATAGAAGAAAATAAGATTGCTACACGATAATTGAAATAAATCCAATAAGAAGTTTCGAAAGTTTTTAAAACAGTAGGAAATTTACTTCTAAAGTAGTAAAGGTCATCGACCTTAACCTTATACCACTCATCCCTTCTGGTTGTTCTTTTATGTGAAGAAGTCATCCAGCTACCTTGCAGAACGTCGATGGTTCAACTTTGGTTCCACTCCGTGCATAATTATCATACCATCACAACACAAATACTCACTTTGTCGTGTCAGTTCATTTGGTCAGTAAGTCCATCAGTCTGTATCGGCTCTGTAAATCCTATACCCCTTAAAGGACTTTTCAAACTTGGCTAAAATTTTCGCTTTAACAAGGCAATATGCATATACATTTGTACTATACGGCTGCTGTGCTGGTTCAAGGTCGCGGTCACATTTGAAGGTCAAATGTCAAGAGTCCACTCTATAAATCCTATACCCCTTGAAAGATTTTCTTCAAACTTGCTTAAACCTGACTCAGATAATCACATTATCAAGAGAACGTGCAGAACCCGTGTCACCACAATGCTTACTCAAGGTCAAGGTAACGCTTGAAAGTCAAATGTCAGAAAAATTCGTGTTAGCTTTGTTAATCCTATGCTTGTACCTCTTGTTTTTTTCAAACTTGACATTGATATTAACCTCAACAAAGCCATGTATAGAACCTATGGTATGGCTGTGCTGGCTCAAAATTGGCTCAAATGTTAATCCACGATAAGGCGATGTGCAGAACTCTTGTCTCTGTGCTGACGTTAGGTCAAGGTCCACCTTGAAGGTATTATTAAGTTAAGACAATTTTTTTCAGCACTATAACTTCTGTACTACATATACTTCTTAATTGACTTTCTTCAAACTTAGTAATAAATAATGAAAAATGAACCTACATAAAATCCTGTCGTCCTAGAGATGATGCGGGTATTTGTCACTCCTGTTGCAGCTCTAGTTGAAGTCTTCCACTACCAATAAAACTGGGAAGTGGCCATATGACCCATTACGGAAATAATTTCTTGAAAAAAAAAAGGATTTTATGTAATAGTTGTATTTTTAACACACTTCTGTGAAACAGACAAACTCAGACTTATTTTTTTAATAATCACCTTTTTGATGATTGTAGACAATATTCCACCAAACAATTGTTTTTAATTCCCCTGACTTTAAATTGAAATTCTCACTTTTTTGTCTGAAATGATAATTATAGCAAAACTGGAAACGCTAAAGCTTGCCTGATTTCGTGTAATCAAAGACATCATTCAATCACTGTTGTTTTGTTGCAATGTCGACAGTTATTTTTATGCAAGTTCTCAAAAGTTTAAGGAAATAGCTAGAGATGCTATTGACAAGTTAAACAAAAGAGTTAATTGACAGGCTAAACGAAAAAGAAAATTTTGATAAGTGAAATATTAATTTAAATTGTTAATCGAGAAAGTATGTAAGAGCGAATTGACAAGTTAAAACTAAAAGCAAATTGTCCAGTTACATAAATAATGAATTGACAAGTTTAACGCCAAAAAAATGCAAGCACACATGCAGAAAGGTAAGTCTAAAACCAAATAAAAGTTAAAAGAAAAGAGCAAATTGACAAGCTAAACAAAAAAACATATTGTCAAGTTGAAGGAAAAGGAAAACGACAAGTTAAACGATGCCTGTAAATAACAAGATTAATGTTTTTGTGTCACAAAAGATATTATTATTAACTCATAGGTTTGACTTGTGTAACATTATCAATTTAATAGTGTTTATATGCGAAAAGAGAAAAAAATGAATTATTTAATTTTACCCATGAAATATGGTGCAATATCAGTCAAATATATTTCATATTTTTTAAAAATAAATATGAAATATAAATATGAAAGTGGGCGGAGTCAAAACTCATATTTATTTTAAGGGACTTCTTTCGCCGTTTTGTTTGAAAAATCTGATGAATACAAAACAACTTTTTCTTGAATATTGTTTTGAAAACTATCTAGCATGATAGAAAATGGTCTTACTAAGAAAATTATCCGAACACCAATATCTTTAATTCAGTAATTAACGCTGTACAGACGTTTAAAGAGTTGTTTACATGACGTCACAATGTAGCGCCAAACAGCGCGTGCTTACGCATAAATTACTGCGCGCTGTACAATTGCAGTTGGTAGCAAGCAAGGGGATTCGTTACCGTTTTCTTTGATAATGAAATTAAATAAAAAGGTTATTTTTTCGTTTTTCGTGAAATATGGTATATATTTTCACTTAACATGATAAAATGCCACATATTTTCACTCGCCGTACCGGCTCGTGAAAATATGTGGCATTTTATCATGTTTCGTGAAAATATATTCCATATTTCACGCAAACGAAAAAATATCCTCTTAGTATTTATTTATTGACAATTCTTAATAAACTTATCTGTTAATGTTATCATTTACCACTTTATCTCTCTTGGAGGAAACATATCTGTAAGTTTGAAGATATATCAGAGCAAACCTTGTCTGTTTTTGTCGATATTTCAAAGTGACACCTGTCCGTGTTTCTAGATATATCAAAAGAAAACTTGCCTGTGATTTTAAACGTATCGAAGTGAAACTTGTCTGTTTTTGCAGCTATATCAAAGTGAAATTTGTCATTGTTATAGATATATCAAATAATATTATTTTGTCTGTGATTGTAAACGTATTAAAGTGAAATTTGTCTGTTTTCGTAGATATATCAAGATATGTCTGTGATTACATATACATAAGAAAGTGAAACTGATACATCAAAGTGAAATAGTCATTCTTTTTATATAAATCGAAGTAAAACTTGTCTGTGTTTCTAGTTATTTCGAAGTCTAACTTGTCTTGTGTTTTATATGAAAGTAAACTTTGTAGATACATTTGTATATATCAAAGTGAAACTTGAGTGTTTCTGTAGATATTGTAGAATTTAATAAGCTATGCAATACATATGATCCGTGTCACGACAAAACCAACATAATGGGTTTGCGACCAGCATGGATCCAGACCAGCCTGCGCATCCGCGCAGTCTGATCAGGATCCATGCTGTCCGCTATCAGTTTCTCTACTTG